GTACTGATTGTTTCAGAACATTGCTATGGATTGGCTAAGGTGATCTGAGTGGGTAATGGCACGTTGATAGTGATGGCCCACTATGATTTTGGTCTCTAGTTGCAGCTCTTTTAGTGCAAGTATATGGACTTCTCTTGGTGTAAACCATACGCCTGATAATGATTGCTTTGAAAAGTAACAGAACCTCTCTTGGGTTTGACACTTGTAATGGTTTCCTTGCAAGCACCGCATAACAGAACATCACAGAAGCATTAAGTGTTTGATGAATAATGTTATTGGGATCTACATGTATCAGAGGCCAGCTAGTAAGAGCAAACCTCACTCCTCTGGCTCACTAAAAGGCACACTAGCGACTGACACTGAGCTGACACTAGCGGCTGATGCTTTGGGCCTCCCATGGCGGTTCGAATCCCGCTCAGAGCAGGGCGAGTGGAGCCGGAGGGGTTATATACACAAAACTGAACATGGAGAGATTGTTCCTCCAAAGATATCTTAAAACATCTGTCTGCCATAGGCAATGTTGGGGGTGGCGCATTACAAGTAACACAAATTATGTAATCGTTTACTTTTCAAGTAACTTGTAAAGTAATGCATTGCTTTTAAATTCACACACAAAAAAATAATAAATAAATAAAATCTGAGCTAAGCAAGTCGTTTTTCCATTTATGGACTGACATCTCTCCCGTCCTCATGTTGAGTGAAATCATGAGTAAGTGCAGAGGCATTGTCTGAACATGATGGTTACTGTATAACTCTGAAATGCAATATTATGCAAACCTGCAATAATTAAATATACAGATATTCTTTATGTAGCCTAATCTCACTTTATTAACAAATGTCTTCGTTCATTGACATTCGATGATCCAATTCAACCATACACTCTTAGAAGAAATGGTTCTATTTAGAATCAGAAATGGTTCCACCCCCCGCTTCATATATGGAACTCCAAAACGGTTCTATATAGAACCATTTTTTTGGTAAAAGGTTCTATTGGCCAAGTACGGAACCCCGGGGTTCTATATAGAACCCAGAGGAACCCTTTTTTTAAGAGTGTATAGAACCTTTTAGGCCAGGGGTTCCAAATACGTAGCGCTGATAGAACCTTTTACGGTTCTATAACCTTTTCTTCTAAGAGTATACTAATAAGCAAAAATGACTTTAGATAAACATCACATTTTTGTTTTTTTTTTTTGTTTTTTTGTTTTGAAAGAAAGAGTGTTGGAACTTCTGCATTTGTTTGAAAGGTTTGTTTGAGCGGCGCCCTCTATTGTACAGACGTGAATTTGCGTTTCCTTTAGCCTGAGGCTTATTCATTTAACTTTTTGTGTCAAAGGGGTTATTAAAAAACAAACACGCAAGCCCAGCCCAGGTGAGAAAAGGTATGCAGAATTAGTTACTTTTTAGGGAGTAACGCAATATAACACACTGCTTGTAAAGTAACTTTCCCCAACACTGTACATAGAAACTAAAACAAATCTCTTACAGACAATTGAAGATATCAGATAAGATCCTTTTTAAAAGTTATCAGTGTTCACTGATCTTACAAGACGACTTTTGATATCTTTCTTTTTCTTCCTTCTATTCTGAAGGCATTTGTGCTCTTTGATATTTCAATATCAGGGATAAACTGAATTTCTAATATGCCCTTTGCTCATGGCAAAGTTAAGCATGGCAAGAGAACAGAGTGCATGATAAGGTTATATGAATAGATATGAAAACAGTCCTTGGGAAAAGAATACAGTGAAAAAAAAAGGATAAAAGAGCTTTAAAGTTGAGTTGAGCTTAAATAAAACTGTAGTGTCCGAAGTTGAATTACACCCACATTTTAGCAACAACATCAGAGGGTAGCCTATATGGGAGGCCCTCTTTTAGTAGGCAATCTTCATAGACTAGTAAATTTCTCAATGCATTATTCCACAATGCCCTGGGAGCGACCGTATCTTTAACAGGGCTGGTGTAAACCTGTCATTTTCTTTCAGGCAACAGTCAAATTTCCAATGACTAAAACATGAAAACTGAGCAACAAATGCATGCAAGGTTAAGTATCCCTTGTCTATCCCCTACTTTACACCGATAACTGGTAATGAATTTTAATGTCTCGTAGCTGAGCTTACACAATAAATCTGTGGCATCCACTGGCCTCTGTGGAGAGGAGCGCCACTCTCATCTTTATAACTTCCACATGCGAGTTATTTAATTCAGCATGAAGTATATAAGCTGTGGTTCTGCCTGTGGTCACACCGAAAAGTCAATACACTGTCACTTATCCACGCTGTAGAAAAATTGTTTTCATCATTACATCATCTCTGCATGCATCCATCTATTTAATGTCTGTTACTCCGTCTCAATTATATGAATTTTCAGAGTTTGAACTTGCAACTTTGGCACCATTTGACTTTACCACAGCAATTAAACTTAAGTTTGACATTTTAACAGTGTAGATTGCAATGGTGAGATGCAACAGGGATTAATTCTATCAGTCCAAGAGATTGATTGAAACAATTCTTTCAAAATACCCACCAAATACAGAAATATACTAAATGTTTTGGTTGGATGAAGATATAAGACAAGTCCCTATTGAGCTGAACGCTCTTATCAACATGCTAGCAGGAAGTCACCTGCTGCATCATTTATTAAACCGATTATATATAATAGATTTTGAGAGAAAAATGGAGTGAAGATGATTCAGTAGTTTTAGAGAAAGAAAATAAACAAACCTGGAGGACAAGAGCACTCTTGCGCTGCTTCTCGAACTGTACGGATTTTCGACACCCCCTCTTTGAGTCTCTGTGAAAACAGATGTATATGATATACATACAAATTAGTAATTTAACATAACACTGAATAAAAATCCATATAAAAACAGAAAAAGTACAATGTAAAAATTATTAAATTATGAGATAAGATCATGAGTGGTTCAGATTAATATAATATTTTGAGTTTGTGTTGACAAAACCAAACTCAATTTCAATGAACATAAAATAAAGGCAATCAGGTTACTTACTGGCTAAAGTAAAAACAACAATATTTTTTTTTCCAGTGTGTAGCTATAGATAATGTTTTGTTTAAATTTACAGATTTTATTTGATCTTAGAACACAAATCAACGCGTAATTAATATGGGGGAAACACCTGAGAAAAATCTAAAATTATGGAAGTTTATAGTATGAACAGCTATTCTCTACTTAATTTCACTTTGAAGCATGTTAGTCGCATAATACATGAGTTCTAAATACATAATATAATATACAAACAAATTGAAAGCCAGATTAATTGCCTTATTTTCATTCAATGTTCATAAAAGTAGCCAAGAAATTAAAAAAAAAAATTATAATAATCTCCTCACTCACCTCTTGCACAAGTTTCTCAATGGCATCCCAAAGAGTCGCGTGCGCATCTAGTGTCGCGTGCACAGGTTGAATCACAGACAGTCTCTCCATCTCCAGAAGCTCAACTTTACGCTCAAGATGCGAAGTTTTGACGTTCATAAACAGACAAACTGCCACAGAAGACGCCGACAGCATAAAACATACGAGGGTTGTTAGGCAATGAAATATCTGTGATGTGTGATGTCCATTCCCGTTCGTCTTTGGCACATCTTTTGAATCCCCAGGTGAAACCATTTTTGGCATTATGATGATCTGACAAATCCTTGTTCTTGAATCCTTTTTTGAAACACGAGTAGATCTTTATTTCAGTAAAGTGGAGTTTGTGGCTTCAGCGTAACTGCGGCTGACAGGAGACGCGACGATGTGACGCACACTTGAAGCGAGCGCGTACTCGTACTGAAAGTCTGCTGATGGTCGCGCGCCTCTCAGTGTCTCGAGCGCAGGTTAAGTTGTTTCCCTCTGAAGTGTCTCTCACTAGTCAGCCCCTTTCTCGCTGCTCAACTACCGTAAACAAATCAATGTAAACGACAGTAGTGCGAACTCAGTGTGCGCGCAAGTGTCTTATCCCCTCCCCACCCCAAAGGTCAAAAGTCAAAACAAAAGATTGACGGTGGGTTTTGGGTGTATGCTTTCTATTCTTTTAGCTACTATGTATATGATTCAACCGTTTCCAAACTTTTCCGAAAACTAGAGACAGATTAGGCTACAAGTCAGGCTGCGCGTTGATGACGTATATTAAGAACTATAAATATTCATCACTTTATACCACACCACACAAATATAAACAGAAACTATGTTTAAAAACAAGTCACCATGGAATTGAAATAGACTATTCTAATTTTAATTTCTTTTTGGACTGTTCATTTTTTATTAATGAGAAAGTAAAAAATCGTTAGTCTTTACGTCATGTCCTTAAATAAAGAAAAAAAGTTCTGACAACAATTTTCTTTATATTTACACCGTCATCCTCCAATAGGGGAGATGTATAACCAAATAGTTGACAGAGATAGGCTACGTATCCATCTTTCTCTTTCATACTCTTTTCTGTTATTTATTTGTTTGTGATGTCATTAAAACTCAAGTAAGCACTAATGTTCTTCCTCAAGTAACTTGTAAGTTCATGCTACAACCACTAGAGGTCCAAAAGATGTTATCGCACTATGGACAAAATACAATTTGGCTTGTGCAAAACAAACTTCTAAAGGAAACTGCCGATAAAGATGAAATGTATTTATGATGCGTAGTCCAAAACTTTGTGCGTACCTGTAAATGTCAAATTAGTAGTGGTTTATTGCACAATGTATTGTTTTTATCCGTCTGTAATAAAGAACACATATCAGAGTTCCAGCCAAGATAATTTGCTTTACAGATTGTGAAATCTCGCGATTTTCCCCATATGATGTCCATATGCTGTCCAACTAAATAGAAAGACAGCAGAACTAGAAGCTTATGGCGCCATCTGCAGGAGAGACATTATATTACCGGTCCGTTTTCAAGTTTCCCAATGATGGATGAATTTTAATAATAAAAACGCCTAATGCACTCCAATACACTGTAATTGCTTTGAAAGTTAGTCCACTATCATCAATAAGAACGACTAAATAGACAAAAATGGCATGCATTCAAATCATTCAAGTTTATTGTGTCAAAAGTACAGAGGAATTTGGCCCCTATGTTCAAACTGACAATAAATACAGACAGAGGTAATGAAGCAGGCAGTCTTAAAGCGGACTGATACAGTCAGCAGCGGTCTCCCTGGGAGCAGTAATGTTCACTCAATGTCGCCTTCGAGTCACTTTCTCTCTTTTCTTAACGGGTTGAAAAAGGGATGTCCGATGGCCTGATCCAGGGTGATTCTTTTGGATGAATCGTACTCCATCATCTTCTGCAGCAGGTCAAAAAGCAGCTCATGGTCCGTGGTTTTAGAGGACATATATTGCTGCGTATGGAGCAAACATTAAATACCATCAATTCAGAGAAAAACATGCAGCATTTTCGATCCAAAAACCTCTAACATTTTGTACTTGTGTTCATATATAGAACCAAATGATCAAAAACAACTCGGAGGCAATATATTTATTATACAAAATACAGAATTTAAAAAAGAAGTCATTATTAGCTTATGTAAAGTTGCTACTACTAACATGTTTCAAACACAGGAGGCAGGACACTATAGATTCTGGAGAGCATTTGATTGGACAGAAGATGTGACGAGAAACCGAAGTCTGCTGTGATGTCATAAAAAATCTGTGATCTATTTTAGCTGAAGTGAGCTCAAAAGTTTTGAATGCTTATATCTCCTAAATGCAAATTTTGTCATTGTTTTGGAACACACCAGCTTATTCATAACCTTAAGGCTAACATATTCATACTAAAAACGAAAAAAACTTACATTTTGTTTTCAGGGGGCCTATAACCATTTGTCCCTCATGGGCTGAATGACTTCGCCACTTCCTGTGGAATTTCTTTTTTTCTCTGACTAACCGACTAATATAATTGATAGACTAAGCCTCATCTACTCTACTGTTATAGGGCAGCCCTAGCATAATATAATTAAGATTTGGGATTTGAGGTCAGTTTCCAGTGATCTTTACCTTTAGAGGTTTACAGTGTTTCCTCACGTATCTCCCTGCAGAGCTGTGCTCGTCCCAGTCCAGTTTGTCATGATGCACATAACGCCGCTTCCTGACCATGCATGAGTCAAAGAGATAGCATAAATCATAAATGATAAACTTGCAATAAGAATCAAGCAATGCAAGGTAGTCTCATGTTACAATACTGCACCTGGTTTTCTGGAGTAGGTGTGTCGGTATGGGGCCTAGAACCTTCTCCATCATGGCTAGATGCTCTTTACTGTCATGAGTCTGAAAAGAGCAAGTTCCTATAAGTACGCTGCATTTAAAATCACGCTACGAGGCATTTGGTAAAAACGTTTGTGTCATACCTGAAATAACGTTAATCCCAGATAAAATTCAATCAGGATGCAGCCCAAACTCCACACGTCACACGCCTGGTTCCAGCCCAGTTCTGAAAGCAGAGATCAACATTAGGACATCAAAGAAGGTTTTATAATTGTGACTTAGAAAAAACACCTTCATGGTGTGCATCTTGAGACAAAACAATGACACGGACACATTTTAAGATATGCCAGTGCAAGTCGCATTCAGTTAAAACAGCTCAAACATGCATTTTAGTCTTGAACTAAGCTTAAACTGGTGGATAGAATAGTACAAATAGTTCACCCAAAATAACTTCCGGAGCTCTGTAGTGGCGAGTTGACACCAGAGAGGTGTGATGCTCATGGTCATAGGTAGCATTGCCAAAGTCCACCACTTTCACATCCAGCCTCTTCAAGGTCTTCTCCTCTCGCTTCTGTAACATAATGAACATTACGGTCGGTCAGCATCCCCTCCTCACTATAAATCAACACTTATCTTCTAACAGACATAACACTAGTGTGCAAAAGTTCAGGGTTGGAATAAATTTGTAATGTTTTTGAAGAAGCCTCCTAAACACCCCCTAAAACTGCATTTATTTGATCAAATATGTTAACAATAACCTACTATAATAACAAAAGACCAGCATTTATTTTAAATGGAAATCTTTTGTAACATTATAAATGCTTTTACTGACACTTTTCTTGAATTTAATAGATCCTTGCTGAATGAGGGTATTCATTTCTTTCAAAAACAGATACAAATCTTTCTGATCCCAAACTTTTTGTCTGTACTGAAATTTCATAATGTACTCACCATCTTGAAGTTATATTTAATGTCATAGTTGGAGTCCACAAAGAGAATGTTTTCAGGTTTAAGGTCAGTGTGCGTCAACTTATTACGATGCAGAACTGATGGAAAAAGGTGAATAATAAAGCCATTTATCACTATTATGAAATGGTGCTTAACAAGGATCTGTATCAGTGATGCATACATGTACACTCACAGAGCACGGCTCTAAAGATCTGATCTGCCATGAGTCTGATCTGATTCAGTGAGAAGGGCATGAATCCATTCTCCTTCAAGAAGTCATATGTGCTCAGTCCCAGCAGCTCAAACACTATGCAGACGTGGCCGTGGTGATCGAACCAGTCTAGCATCCGGACACAAGCACTGCAAAAACAAAGAGGTACGTTATTACAGTGGAAAAAGACAAACGTTTTCAGAAGGGGTTCTACCTTAAAGTCAAATACTCACAATCTTTTTTCACCATCAAGCGAATTTATCCGCTCAAGCACATCAACTTCTGACAATGCTGCCTCACGGTAGCGCTCAATGTTTTTGATGATCTTCAACGCCACTCGTGCACCACCTCTGCAAACAAAAGCACATTGCATTTTTGCTAATATGAATTACTCAATCTGATTGTTCTATTTATATAAAGCCTATGCTTTGCATTATGTTTAAATGTGCATTTCGAACAAACTTCCACGCGTACATAGATCCCCGGCCTAAACATTCAGAGCTGGAGAAAGCCACCATGAGTATAATTCAAAATTTTGTCTCAATGACATACCTAAAAGGAAAGCTGATTTATATGTCAGAAGTAGGGCTGTGATATGGACAAAAATATCACAATTTTGATTTTAATGATGATTTTGAAACTAGGCTATACACGCAAACATATCTGAATCATTTTTTGGAAGCCGGCTTTACGGACGATATTTGCTGCACCAAAGTGAAACTGCATATGCCTGTCGTCATAATAATAATTATCATATTATGAACAACGTCTTTAAATAATGAGCTTACGTCTTTTGCAGAATCCAAAGAAGTTTGTGTCGATTGATGGTAGATATTAATATATATGTACTGACAGGAACAAGGTTGCGCTGTTGAGGCTCGCCTCACACAGCCTTGAAGAGAAATCGAAAAAAATGAGTGCATCACACACAAAGATTCAGCACTGCGGTAAAAATTCTTTATATTTATACAAGCATATGAAACAGTTAAGCAACATAACACAACCATGAGTGCTGTTTTCCTTAATATGATCACGATTGAAAATGTCACGCTGATTTAACGGATTAATTAAAAAGTAGTTAATATTAACATCACTTACATTTTAGACCCAATATTGACTGATTTGTTTTTTCAGCAGCAAAAATAGTTCCAAAAAAACTGTACATGATTTTATTACAAATTCGATTAAATCGAACGGAAGACGTAAATAAACACCTTTTTAAAATTGTGCATGCGTAAACAGATATTATTATAAAAAAAGACTCTGGTAAGCGTGTGCATTTAAGATATTTTATATAAGTATTCATATACTTGACATTATTTTGGTGCAAATGTTCAAATAAAAAAATATGTATGACAAAGTCATCACAGAATCTGGCTTACTTTGAGTGATCGAGGCACTGCACCACTTTTCCAAAGGCTCCTTCGCCCAGAGTCCCTACAATCTCATCTATAAACAGGGTAAAGAAGCAATCATAAGTAAAGCTTTGTGACTGGAGGATGCTACATACAAAAGCATAGATTTTATAATACTAACAGATTCTTAAAGTGAAAATTCTATCATTAATTAGCCTGTCGTCATTCCAAACCCGTAAGACTTTCATTCATCTTTGGAACACAAAGTCAGTCTCTAAACCTCTCAATTCATATGGACTCGTTTTACGATCTCTTTATGAATTTTTGAGGTGTCAAAGTTGTAGTTGCGAAGCGGTCAACGGAGGGACATGCTCTCAGATTTCATCAAAAAGATCTTCGTTTGTGTTCCTAAGATGAACGAAAGTCTTACAAGTTTGGAACATGAGGGTAAGTAATTAATGACAGAATTTTAATTTGGGTGAACTAACCCTTTAACAAACTCATTAAATCAAATTCTAAAGTATAAAAGTCTGTGCCAAAATAAAGTTTCACAGATGATAGATTACATTCTAAGTGGTTAATATTAGAAGGTCCCCTTATAACCCCCAAGTGTAGGCTGAATTGACCCACTAATAGACAACAGAACAGACAGTTATATAGAGAAAGGTTTGTGTTCTATACATCTTGCTCTTAGCATGTCTCCATTGTGATAGACCAGGTGACCCTCCTCATCATCCTCAATACTCTTGGTTCTTTTCCTGCGATGACTTCTCTGGGGTACATCATCATCATCATCAAACACCAGTCAGAATCAGGCCCGAACGCATCATTCATTCATTCAGCGAGGGGGGGTTGGATGAAGGGGAGGGAGTGATTCGGACCCCCACGCCAGGCCACGGCGGCAGCAGCAAATTCAAATTCATCGCCAACAACGGCACAGGGCCACCATAGTGTGTGTTACAGAAGAAAGACATGGCAACACATTTTCAGACAAGAAACAACTTTCTTTGAAGTGCAGCTAATTCTGTTTATGACCCTCAACCAATCAACAAATAGCCATTTCTGCAACCAATGAGTGTAGATCAAGTGAAAATCAACTGACTCCTTGACCACCTTACTGCAAGTATACAGCGGATCATGGTTACTATGGTAAATCTGGATTTTAGAAACATTAACAAATGCATCAGCTAAGCACAGATAATGACAAACGGTTTACCGAGTTTGAGGAGGGACTGGGGTGGCGTGAACGCTGGTGCTCTCTGCTGCTGCGCCGACTGCGCCCGCTGCGCGCGGATGACTGGCTGTAGTGCTTGCCGTCTTTCTCCCTCTCCATCTCGCTGATCGGGTCAACCTGAGCCTTATAACAGCCATGCTCCGGACTGGCCTCTCTGGCCCTGCGCTCTCGGCACTCCAGCCTCTTGGAGCTAATGTGACACCTAACAAAAACAAACATCGGTGAGGAAGACGCCACAGCTCTACGGCGAATGACAATGAGATACTGACAGCTGAATTTATAAGTGGCTTTCACTTTGCTGCAATTTATCAAATCCTTTCAGCAGGGGATAAGGAGTGCTGAATCGTGATCTGCTGGGTGCTGAAAGCATCAAGTGTCTTCTAGAAAGAGTGGAGTTCAAGAACAAGCTATACTTAGCAAGAGCCACGGAAACCAACTCTGAGAGAGCAGTTATGAGTGAAAGCGATGCTTTAACCTGTCAATGTCGAAGCAGTCAATCTGTTAGGAGGATGCCTGAGTGTTGTGTTTGATTTAAACAACTTGCGATCCAAGTCACAGCTGTCAGCCTCTAGTAGAGTAGCAGAATGTTCTGCGACAAGTTGAAGCCTTCCCGACCAGTAAAAATTTTAGAGAGTTAGTTCAGCTAAAAATTTTAATTCTGTCATTAATTGCTCACCCTAATGTTGTTCCAAACCCCTAAGACCCATAAACTCAAGCATAATCTTGGCATGCTTGATATGCAAGAACCAATGAGGTTCATTCTTGTGTTATGCAGCATGTTTGAGCTTCAGCTAGAACAACCATCAAAGACAGCGGTAGTCATTTTTTGGGTGAATATCTCTTTACCAGACAATAACATCCTGAATATCTGATGTACTCTGCGTTATTTTCTGCATTAGAAAAATAAGTGAGAAATATGAGTGATTTATTTTGATGTATATGTGAGTGAAAGGGCTTACCAATATATATATATATATATATATATATATATATATATAGCCTATGTAATGCAGGCACTTGGTTCAATGCATTAGTTGTTGACTGGATTTTACCACAGATAAACACAAACTTGCAGTGGTATCATGGTTTAAGCTTTAGTCCAGGATACATCACAGAGAGGGGTCATTTTCACCAGAAGATCCAGTTATGACTAGGGATGGGTATCCCTAAGGTTTTATCGGTATTACTACTTTTACCGATACCGCTTATCGATCCGGTACTTTTTATCGGTTCTTTTTGGTGTTTTTTTTTTTTTTTTTTAAGAATTAAGAACATAATTAAACTCTATATTTTGACATGTAAAATAGAAAAAGCAAAACGAAGAAAAATATATTTATGCAGCAATGTACAGGCTTTTTTGTTATACAAAAAGGACACATAAGAAAAAAAACAAGTAAAAACACAAGAATAAAATCAATCAAAGATACAAATTGTATACAAAAGTGCTTTAATTTCAGGAAGGTGTACCAACATATCTTTTCAGGTAATTGTTTCTGTCTGAAAAGAAACCTAATTTAGTAATCAAATATAAAATAGCACTGTATAGTTTATCATAGATAGATTAATGCTTAATTGCTTATTAAATCTAAAGTTACTTATTCAAAAGCTGTGGGTGATTTTTTTCTGCCTTTTGTTGTTTGATTTGCATTAATGGCTGAATCTGAATCGGTTACAGAATGTGTCACTGGTGTGGTGATAATATAGTTTTCATTCCTGGAGTTAACAAGCTTTTACAAGCTCTCAGTTTGCACTTCAAATTGCCTGGGTGCGTCAAAAGAAAGCTAATGAACTTAGGTGTTTAACTTCCTACGGTATAATAAAAACGATTTTGGCTTCCTACAATTATGAAAACGGGATAATCAAGATAAAATTATCATTGTGCCGCATGCAGTTTCTTCCCTTTAAAGTGGTGTCCTTTTGCCTCTCCTTAAAAACTTAACATCTAAATCAGCAAAACTGTCGTAAATGCAGTCTACTGCAGGACTTGCTTTATTTTAAAAAGAGTTATTAAAAGTGCTTTAAACTGTAAAAAGAGACTGATCCCCCCATATGCTTTGTGTGCGCTGCGAGACGTAGCAGAACACAGACAAGCAAAGTACAAGAGGGAAATAATGGTCGCCCAAATGGTCAAATATACACAAAATTATGTAAAAATACACTTACATTATTTCCAGTATTTATATGAAGACAGTCAGTTATGTCTTCAGTGAATAAACGTTGTGTGTAATTTATATTAGATCCATGCATTCGGTCTTAAAGCCTAAAGCAAATACCTCCTGTCGGTGACATTAATGTTGAACAAAAGACAAAGAAAATCACTCACTTCTCTTGACAGAATAACTTTAGTAGTTTTAATAAGTATCGTAAATTTTTCATTCATACAGTGAAGACTATGCAGTGTTTTACAGTTTAAAAGAGGGCTTACTTACCATTTTGACAACTGATTGTTTAATGCAATACTGTGTTTTATAGATAAGTGCATAGGCTTGTTCCAGTCTGTATCTTCTTGACAATACATCTCAAAATTGGGAAAATATTGATTCAGATTGTGATATGAAACTTTGGGAAGATCACCTTCCCATATTTCTTGGTTATTGTATATGTTTTGACTTGTAAAAAGTTCCTCATCTCACAGCATAAATGTTGTAACAAGTCCCATAGGCAGTCCTGTAATGACAGGAGGTCGGGATTCTCTGAATTGCAAGAACAGATCAGTAGCCTATGACAGGCCCGATTACAGCACTTGAACCCTGAAAGTTTGTCTCTGAATCCAAAAAAATGCTACATCTTGTAAGACACTGCAAACATGCATGATGAGTCGACAACAAATCTATCAAATAAAGTCTATTCTAACTGAAAGGAAAAATCTATCAAATAAAGTCTATTCTAACTGAAAGGAAATGATAAGTTCATTCATACGTTTACAGTCTTACCTCTCGTATGTTTTATAGTGATGTGTTCGCCCGGGCTGCCGGTCTCGTTCCCCGCTGGGTGAGCTGCGCTTCGGTCTCTTGTGCACCTCCACCCTCTCCTCCCAGCTGTACTCCGCGATCCAGCCATCCGGAGACCGCATCCGCTTAGATCGCCGCATCTCAACACACCAGAATAGAAAAAAATGGCCAAGTCATAAAAATTATGACAGGGAAACAGTATCCCAGGACATTCCCAACACCCTGCTGGGTTGTAAAATTCAAGACAGCCGAGGTGTTGCCAGCTCTCCGCTCCAGATCCAGTTATTGAATTTCATGTTGCCGCGTTGTTGCAGTTGTTTTGACTTGTTAAAAATTGACCTACAGTTAGGCGGTTTGCGTTACCATGCAGTAACTTAAATCCAGATATAAAATAACTTATTTACAAGCGATTAAACGCCACCAATTAGGTTTAGTTACACTAAATTAAGGTTTAAAACTTATCCCGGCACGTTCAACGCAATGTCCCACAGTAAATGTTTACAGTCGCAGTCGAACTTTCATTTTTTTGGTTGCCTGGTGACAAAGAGCTAAATTAATCTCGCGCTTAAGTCGCCACCGCCCTTCTGCCTCTAATGTAAACAAACTTAACGTTACTCACGATAGAAATGCCAGGCGACTGTGCACTAACTGAGAATGTAATTATTCAAGTTAGTGACCAGAACGCACAAAAATCGAATTGTTCATTAAAAACAACGAGTCTGAGTGTTTTTTCTTGGTATGGCTAACGTTAGCCAGTTAGCATCAATGCAGAAGCAATAAGGCACTTAACTTACACTAACTTAGTCACCACCGCAGCCTCGATGTAATTAATCAACTTAAAATTAAAAAACCGTCTTATATTACATATTTTAACTTAAAATGCACTCACCTTTCACCGGTTATTTTCAAATCGTGAAATAAGACACTTTATTTTCAAGACTGAACTCCGCAGCCGTTTGTGATATGACTTCCGCTACACGTTAAAAAACCACTTCCGGTGGCGAGGATTTCTGGGTAAATACACAACAAAGCACAAGTCTTCTTGAGTGAGTTTGGTATGGGACCTACTAGAATTTTGAGATTTTCCCCTGGTTTTACAGCCTAGTCACAAACAAAAATGCATGTTGTTGTCTTAACTGAAAGCTCTTGCTCTGATATCTTAAAATATGTCACTGCCATTGATGTTTTTTTTTCCTAAAGCACGTTTAGAAAGCTATTTAAATGCCCCAGTTGATCTAAGGCCTAATCCTGGCTTAATCTAAGCCCTGTCTGTGAAACTAGGCCTTCTTTATTATTATCTGAGAAGTTGTCTCAAATAAATAAGTTTAAATATGATTATGAAACTGTTAGCCTATATAACAATCCCAGAGCAGCCTGTCTCCTACTCTGCAAACTCTTCTATGTTTTTAAATTAATACACAAAACAAGATTGATGAATGAATACAACTTTTTTATTCAAATTAGCCTGTTATTATTGATAGGCCTACATCTTAATAGTTATTCTGTATTCACCAGTGAAAGGACATAATCAAATGTATAATCAGTTAAATGTTTTATAATTATTTTGTTACTCTTCACTTGACAGAAACACAAATGAACATAATATTGTACATATTCATTCATCGTACGTTCTTATGAATTAAAGTCAAGGTTTTCCCATTTCAGGATTCTGTAGACCTCTAGGGGTCCATGAAGGAACCGCAGTGGGTCTGACGAGGCACCAAAAAAAAAAAGAAGATTTTTCTTCAAAGATTGTAACACATTTCCAAATATAAAACATATGATCTATATTCAAAACTATAATTGAAGTGTGTGTTTTTGTAGTGTGTCCCTGGGTCCCTGAATGTCTGGGTCTTTTAAACCCCTGGATTACTTGATTCTGTTGAGAATAATTTGAACAAAATCTTTCTACTTTGTCACCATATAGATGACTTGCTTTGTGCCTGATTTATTAACTTAAATGATCACCCCGCCACTGGCCACGACAACTCTTTCCCTAATTAGTCACTGTGGAATTATAAATCTGTAAGGCATGGTAATAAAACCCCCCACAACACTCCCTTTAATGTGGAAGTCAGTGTTTTAACATAGTGATCCTTTTGTTAGGAATGAACTAATGAAGACTAATCTAAAATTAAAATCCCTGTTTTCCACAGTAAAAGGGTCCTCTTTTTTAGCGTCAAATGACATCACCTTGTCACGTTTAGGGCATCTCAAAATCAAAAATGACATTTCTGTCATCATTTACTCACCCTCATGTCGTTCCATCCTCAAGTCTTTCTTTCATCTTCTGTACACAAATGAAGATCTTTTTAAAGAAATCTGAGAGAGTCTACACAACTACTTACCTATTTGATGCTTTAAAACGTTCATAAATATATTGTAAATCTAATCCATATGAATTGAATGGTTTAGTCCAAATTTTCTAAAGAGATTTGATCACTTTATATGATGAACAGATTGAATTTAGGCTTTTATCATATTTCAGTGTTGTGATGGAGCCAGCGAAAAAGAGAAGTCATTCCCAAGTTTGGGAACACTTTAAACTTATTTCCCCCGAATAAGGTTAGTTCTTAGACATTTCTGCATACAAATATTTTTACATATGTAGTGAATGATATGGAGAAAGACATAAACTTGAAAAACCTTCTGCATTTACATTTATACAAGTACAACCAGTTACACAAGCACATCCTTTTCAACATACAAAAATATCAGTCCCACGGTCCACCACCAGTTAACAAGTCATGGTGTTCTGCTTCCCACAGCTAAACCATATAAAGCTTTCAACCATGATACCGCCTTCACCAAACCAGATATAAACCAAACAGAGGTGACAGAAACCCTGACACTTGGTTAAGAAATCTAGGATGTGTACATTACAGGCAAAACATAAATGGATACATTTGTTATAATAACTTGATTTACCTGATTTAGCACAGTTTAAGGTCGCATTTTGTTCTCTTGCGTCAGATGAAGTGATTGACAGATTTACGTTTGTATCTTATCAGTGATTATTTATGTAAAGCAAAAGCTTCTATGTAGATTAAAACTGTTCTCACAATTTAAGTTTCCTATACTGCCTCCCATTTCAATTCCAGTAAAAAGATGAACCTGTCATGAGATGAATTGTGTGCATGCATGCGACGGAGTCCTATAGTGTGTAACTTGTGTGTCTGACAAGTTTCATTTTCAGAAGAGCCTTTGCTCAGCACAAAACCATGTATCGTGCATATTGACAAAAGAGGAGTGAAAAGCTCTTAGTGATAATTGGAACTGGCCAGCCACTGTGCAGCAGGGGTCAGAGCGGAGAAACCAGAGGGCCCAGATCAAAATGTGTGTGCCAGAATACTTTCACACATTCCAATAGATTTGCAGCAATCAGAAAGTCATTTCTAACAAGACAGTGTCCTAAACCTGGAACTAAGTTAGCATTTTTGAACTTTCCCAAAGTGGGATTTTTGAATGGGTTTTTACTTAAATGCCTAAAATAAACCGTGGTTAACAAAAGCTCAATATATTTTCAAGGTTTATTCTACAGCACAAAATACATCAGTAATACCCACTTGTGATTTTTTTTTTTTTTTTTTTTGGCTAAATGGACTACAGAGGTTGTCAGGGGCATTGAACGCCATTACTGAAAAAATCTACTAGTCTGCTTTTACAGCCATGTGTTCATAATCGCGCTCTTGCAAACTATTCTAACTCGAACTTTCCAACTTGTAGATTTTAAAGAAAAACTGTAAGAGTTGTTGGAAGCTTAAAGGAAGTCATACAACCGTGGTGTAGTTTGTCTATAGACTATGTTTAGCTTTTTACCATCTCCTGGTGATTGTATTTAGGCTTCAAAATTCAGTAGTGTTCTTTTGTGAAGTTTTTCTTGATAAACAAAACATTTGAGAATCATGAACATTTGTTGGTAACAGAGCTTATTTACTGCAATAATCCAAAAGCCGATGGAAAAATCCTACTATGTTTTTTGTCAAGGGAACAGGGAGATGCTATCTTCCAGGTTGGCCTACAAAAATACGGCATCTCTCGATTACCCCTTTTGCACCAAAGCATTTTGAGACCTGGTATGCCAGTGCCTACTCGCGAACCAGTTATTTGTGTTTTACAACAATACAAAGAGCAATGTGTAATGTTTTACCAAATTTAGTGCTATACTTCTTGTCTCTTATTTGTTCCCCACTAAGGAATGTTTTTTTCAGTAAATGTTCAGATTTTATACAATTATAGTGCACTTGTGATTTTTCTAGGCTAAGTTTTGCTGACTTATCCACTAATCTAGTTTGCAATAGCATTTTTATCGTAGGTTATGGTCATATATATATATTTTATTTGTTGTTTTTCTTTATAATGAAGTTGTCTGTATTAAGTAGATTGTTTGACACACAAACAAGTGATTATCAGATCACCGAGGCCTCGTCCTGCTCGCCACAACCCTGATTTAGGGTTTTATTTAGCTATAATAAACAAAAAAATGAAATATTTTTTATCCGATTAATCGCCGATTAATCGATTATCAAAATAATCGTTAGTTGCAGCCCTAGTTTTGACAGCCAAAGAACCAGTTCTAGGCCAGGAAAATTGGTTTCAAAGCGGCAATAACTCTAGAACCGTTCTTTTACCACGTCATGCATACGTCGGGGGCTGGGGGCGGGGCTATTGTGACCAACAACACGACGGGAATGGGAAAGCTAAGACGTATGGCGACGTACACAGTGACGTAACGACGTCGTTCGCTGGGCTCTCTAGTCAGTGGAAAAACAAACAGGTTCTGAGAAGGTTTGCAAGTTGAACCGAACCAGATCTTTTTGGTGGAAACGAGGTATATGGGACCAAAGGTTGTAACGACACCAAGAGCACTAGCATCCATATTTCAAACAATGCCCACTGAATAGCATCTGCAGAACATGTACATGTGGCAAACTTCCCAAATAGCAAACTTTTGAAAATGTCCAATGGTACATCACTGGATTGTGTATTCTCTGTGCCCGAGAATTCATGACAAGTCAGTGGCCACGTCAGTACAGCTCCGACTCCTTCACTTGATGGGATGTGTAAAGTCTGCTGAAAAGACCCATTCCTCTTGCCAAATGAAGTGAACCTCTTTCATCAGGATCAATATATGCCTGAGATCCTGCCAGGCCGAGAATCATAAATCTGGCTTGCAGTGAGAAGGAGAGAGAGAGGGCAGATGGGGAAGGGAGGATGAGAGAGACGACGGCTCCTCTTAGTCTAATGGAGGACGGTTCAAAAGTTTAACGTGCCGGCCACCCGCTCACGTCTTTATAACCTCTTTGAGTCATTGTGTGCGGGTGAGGGCCGATCGCATCGATGGCCATTAAACCGAATGCGGGGCTGGTCTGGGGAGTGGGTGGGGGGTGGTGGATGCATTAGGGAAATTGGCCCTGGCTGACTGAGACGGCATACTGTACTGAAGTAATTATAGTTGCTGGAGGGATGCTGAGGCCAGATAGTGTGTGTGTGCGTGTCTGGAATAGTCTGCCGCAGAGGGTCCATGCCCCGCCCTTCCATCTCCCCCAGCAAAGCGCCTGCCAACGGGATAGGGCTGGGGCTTTATTGATGAGATGGATGAGAAGGGAGATAGGGGTAGAGAGACAGATGGGGCTTGTGTCCAGGCCATGGCAGAGCTGGGGAGCCTGCGCTCAGGGATGCCGCCAGCGTGGCCAGCCTCCACCGATCAGGAGCCGCTAGAGCCCGAGCGCTGATGATGATGATGCGCACCCATAGAGGATCTGAGCTCGGCTGAGGCATCTAAAGAGACACCCACCTGCAGGATGGGACTCACCTGCTTTAAGTCCTGGAAGTACAACAGTGCTGCACAGAAAGGTGAGCGAGTGCTTCACTACTTTCCACTGGTGTCAGTCTCTCTGGCTCGCCATATGTGATGATCCGAGCGTGTGAACTTGATGTAGATATAGCTTGCACTAATATAAGACATGACCTGCTGATCTGAATTCAACATTACATTAGTATGTCGATCAACTTCACAGTATGTTTAAAACTAGCAGCTCAACCTCAAAGAGTTTCTGGATCAGGCGAAGGGAAGCAGAACATGAAGGACGGACCACATGCCGTGTTGACCGAGATTTCACTCAAGGATAGATTAAAGCCAAGAAGCGACAGGTATATAGCCAGTTTGGCTTTATGTGAGGGAGGGGTAATAATAAATAATGAGCTTGAAAAGACTCAGATGAGATAAGCAAGTGACTGAGAATGTTTGGGACGGACTCCGAATCGATGTAATTTGCAAAGAAACTAAGGAGACAAAGGATTGATAACCTCGGTTTAAAACCTTAGGATGAAGAACAGCTCTGCTACTATGTTTACCTGATGCATGATATGCTTGTATTTACTGCCACTTAGAAGAATGCAAACTATTAGATTTGTTTGTTTAAGTTTTTTTACCGCCATATTAGCATCAGGGCTATTTACATGGCAAACACAAGGTCAATATCACAATTCATAACATTTCTATTTTTATTAGCCTATATAAAACATTTCAGCTTGACATAAGAATATTTTATATACATTCAGTTCAGTTATACATTCTAAAATATTGTTTCTGAATAAAAGTCTTTAAAAATTACAGTTCAAAAGAATATGTTTCACAGTCAAAGGAACTTGACTTTAGATACATAAAACAGGAACTTTACCAAACATTAGAAACCCATGAAGTGCAAACTATTAGGCAGGTCAAGACCATGCCCGTCAAATACATGAAAACACGGAGAAAGACTATGCTGTTGTTTTCTGCCGTAATTACTGAGTTGTCAAAACAGAGTACCAAACCCCCTGAGTCCGACACTCTTTATTACAACACATCACGTCAGTACTTACTGTACAAGTACTTACTTTGAGCCTGTTAAAATTATTTCATATTTACTCTCACTCTCTACTTCTTTCCTTACGAGGAACACAAAAGGAGATGTCAATCAGAATATTAATGCAGCACTTTTAGAGAATGGGAAAGGACAATACTTAAACAGAACAATATAATACAACTTTGCACTATATTCCAGATCTTTTAGACATACGGTTGTTTTGCATGAGAAACAGACAAAACTTTAAGTTATTAATCATTGAAAATTGTCCCCACCATTTGAGATTCAAGAACTATAAAATCACAAAACAGGTTAAGAGGATGAGAAATATAGCACACTACTTTTATAGTGTTTTTTTTTTTGTCATGGGTCTTCACTTTCATCATCTGGAAGAGAAAAATTGGAACATCTCCCTTTGTGATCCATGGAAAAAAAAAGAGTGATATGAGTCTGAGTGAACCAACCCTTTAACTGTGGCGGTCACTGCTCTGAATCTGTGAAATGCTCTTTTATGGCATTTCAATACTCTCCTTTTAATATCATTATTGCTCAGGCCAGATTCGACGAGCGCTCGGTATTGATAAACCACTTAGCTGGATTTTTACAGCTCTGTCTTGTTACGGAAAGTGTCCTCTTGAATTAATTACTGCACTCTACCGGCAAATATGAGTGGGATCTGGGGCATACTTTAATTGTGACTGAGACCCATCCTGTGATTAATATTGTCTTTGAGAAATGCTTGAAGTAGAAAAAAAATGGCAAGAGTTTTTAATTAAATTATGAAAATCAATGCGCTCTTTTCCCCCGTTGAACTCTTGCGGTGCTTAAAGATAAGAAATGGTCATCTGATTTATCTTGGGCTGTCTTCCAGATGGAAGCTTGAAGGACACAGTGACCATTAAGGACAGAGAGAGATATTTTTAAAGAGCAATACACATCACTTCGCATTAGCCTTACTGCACTCAGAAAACATTTGTATTTTTACTGTTATCATTAAATGCACTTTAAAGGGACAGCCAATGAGGTTCATTCTTGTGTTATGCAGCACTTTTGAGCCTCAGCAAGAACCAATGAGTATTCCTTCAAGCAAAAAATACAGGGGAGTAAAAGTCAGGGCCACATGCTAAATTTTCATTATCTCATCCTAAAATTGTCCTTGCCACAATGCAACTAATTTTGGACAATCCCAAAATATATGTGTGTGGTCTTCCCACACTCGCTCCAACATTTCTCTACTTCTGAATTTTCTGATGTGTGTTTAAATACGTCATTAACAACTTGTTCAGTCGGTTAGTTTCACGCGGAATAGCATTTTTGTAAATGAGGTTATCACTAATGCATTAATGAACTTTGCGTGTACAGAACAAGATTAAGCACTAAAAGATGGATTGACAACCAAATTGGGCAGCAGTGTGTATGTGCCCTTTATGACCGGTCCATGAACTTTACTTATAAGAGTCAATAACGTCTTTGTCATAACAACTTTTGTTCATTACATATTAGGACTGAAATTGTATGTTTATCAGGCTATAGATCAAGATTCTAAATTAAGTGACTTTTGAGGATTTGGATGATGTGGGATAAACAAACTAACTTTTTCCATGTACCCCTGTATGTCCCCCTCTCCCAATTAGGAGGAAACAGGGACGTATTGGTTAGTCCTGGCTCATATTTCTTCCTGTCAAACAGCTGTGGTCAAGGGGAGGAGTGGCTGAAGAGCCTAAATAAGGGCATTTGGATACCTTTTACAGGTACACACACACACACACTGTAGTTTAGGACCTGAATATTTGACTAATTTTGTTTCTACACTCTGTGGTCTCTGGAAAATCCAGGGCTGTGTGAGTCATTGTCATGATAAAAACATTCAGTGTGCGACTGCCTGAATACGATGAAACAGCAGATCCAATCAGTTTTCAGGGCTCCAGCCATAGACATAACAACACACACATATACCAGTCATTTCCAAATCATGGGCCATGAATTACACATGACTAGTGTCATCACAGACTGCGCTTTGTCTAGGCGCAAATCTCACAAAATGCTGAAAAACAAATGCCACTAGAGCTGATGTCATTCGAAACAGTATATTGGGAATTTTCCACTTGATTTTGTCTAAAAAAAAACAACGAACAAGGTTGGCCAGTGTCATTAGTTCAAGCACAATCTCAAGAACTTGTCTCAGCGTTTCATCCATCAGTCTTTTCCTCATCTATTACTTGAGGGGTTGTTGGCGGCAACTGTGTGTCCATCTTGGCAGTGTGCCTGGGAATAATAATATTACAATACACCTTGTTTTTCTCATGAGAACCATCAACCCCCATCACACCCATACAATGAAGACACTAAAGCAAATATACATACACTACCAGTCAAAAGTTTTAGATCGGTAAGATTTTTTATGTTTTTAAAAGAAGTCTCTTCTGCTCACCAAGGCTGCAATTATTTGATAAAAAAAAAATACAAAAAAAACAGTAATATTGTGAAATATTATTACAATTTAAAAAAGTGGTTTTCTATGTGAATATATAGTGAAGTGTAATTTATTCCTGTGATCAAAGCTGAATTTACAGCATCATTACTCCAGTCTTCAGTGTCACATGATCCTACAGAAATAATTATAATATGATGCTCAAGAAACATTTATGATTATTATCCATGTTGAAAACAGTTTTTACATTTTTATTTCAGGATTCTTTGATGAATAGAAAGTTCAAAAGAACAGAATTGTTGTGAAATGGAAAGCTTTTGTAACATTAATCACTACCATTCAAAAGTTTGGGGTCAGTAAGAATTTATTTTTTATTTTTGGGGGAAAGAAATTAGAAAATACTTTTATTCATCAAGGATGAGTTAAATTGATCAAAAGTTACAGTAAAGACATTTATAATGTTAGAAAAGATTATATTTTAAATAAATGCTGTTCTTTTGAACTTTCTATTCATCACAGAATTTTGGGGGGAAAAAAATGGTACACGACTGTTTTCAACATTGAAAATAATCATTTATGTTTTTTGAGCATAAAATCAGCATATTAGAATGATTTTTGAAGGATCATGTGACACTGAAAACTGATGTGTAATCAGCAACAGTAATGATGTTGAAAATTCAGCTTTCAAATTACATTTTAAAATATATTAAAATAGAAAACAGTCATTTTAAATTGTCATAATATTTCACAATATTACTGTTTGTCATTTTTTTTTTCATCAAATAAAGCAGCCTTGGTGAGCAGAAGAGACTTCATTTAAAAAGATAAAAAATCTTACTGATCTAAAACTTTTGACCGGGAGTGTATATGTTAAAATATATATTTTCATAAAAGAAAAAAATGTATGCATTGAGGTAGGATAAAAAAAATATGGATAAATCCTGATCTTCATTCAAATAATCGGGAAACACGATATTTTACTCTAGCCCTATAGCATGCATTAAGCAATATTATTTATAAAATGACATTGTTTTAAACAAATATAACCCAAACACCCAGTAGACGTTATTGTGTTACGTCTGATCCAATCCCTGTTAAAACATGCAAATCTGAGCTGAAAGTGAAACTTGAACTGCCGAGTCCATGTTGATGCTTATTTCCCAGGAGAGATTAACATTGCCAATGAATTCCCTACATTACCTCTCCAACATAACTCAACACAGCTCTGGGGCTCCTAAAAGGTGAGAGATGCCCTTCCAGATAACACACAATCACATTCACATGCACCGCACACTCACTGGGCCAATGTCTAAGGATCCGTTTTAGACTGGGAATCTCATCAGGGGCCAAGTTACCGGGCACAAATGTATAAAAAGGGGTTGGAGGGGTGTGTTCAGCTGTGTCCAATGGAAATTTCTTGGCAGCAGGCCATGTGAGGTACACAGGGACAGAGAGAAAGAAAGCAGAAAGTAGCAGAAAGTAACCAGCAGAAAGTTCTAGCTCATTTATTTTTAGTCAATTTGTGTTTTGTGGTGTTAATGATTCATGGCGAGGGGGCAGGAAAAGGAAAAACAGACTCCAGTAACCAGCTCAACACAGACAAGATGTTTGGAAAAAAGCAGACAGAAAACGGGGAAAGGAACGGCAAGAGAGAGAAAGTGTCACAATGTTTGTAATTCCTCCCTTGTAATTAAGAAGGCAGACTTAATTTAACAGTAAACCAAGGAAGTGCTGACTCACGTCACTGGAAACTTTGGACAATTAAGTACAGACAAACATAACCTCCCCTTCAGAGGCGAACAGTCACGTCTCTGCTGATGTCACTGTCAACAGTGGCATATGACTTCCAGAGACGTCCACTTCCAGAGGGGATATCTTCTTAACTTTATATCAGACTTCTACCCATTTATTGAAAAGCACCAGGTGGTACATCTGTGAGCTCCCGCAGGAAGCGTCCGTCACGGTACAAGAGGTCGAGCACTAAATGGACAACAGCTCGGGGGAAGTGTTTCAACTATCTCTCATGACGTATACTCAACTGGGACACATTTCCCTGGACTAAGGACACGAAAAAAACCTTTGCTAAGCTTCTGTCCTTCTGGAACATTCAGAATTGAAACCGAAGGAACACTTTATACAGAAATGTGCTGAAAATGAGAGGTGTGCACTTGAACAATGCCTCCTCTTTCAGAATGAGGACGGTCATCTGATTTGGAATGCTGATATATCTGATAAGCATGCATATCTGAGCTGGAGGCTCACTGTTGCACATCACAGAGAGAGAGAGAGATCCTCTCTTCGCCGCTGCACTAAGCCTTACCTGCAGACAGGAGAGTGAGAGAGAGGGAGGGAGGAGGAAGAGCAAAGGGAAAGGAACATCCAGTCCTAGACTAAACAAGTTTGTAAAACATGAGCAAAAGGGATTTAGGTTCATTGAGGACAATCGTTTGGTGCCCGTTTCAGGATTGCTACTGAGGTCAGGATAGCGGAAGCGTGTCCCGACGGATGAAAGAAAAGATGCCTGAAAACAAGCAGACAATCCAGCAGACTGGAAGCTATCTGACTCACTCCGCTTACAGGAAGATAAAAAGGGTGCTGAGCTTCAGAAGACGTGAGTACTAAATATTAGGCAGGGAGACGGCACACCATCACACACAGAGGTAGATTTTGGTGCAGTGCAGCAGCAGCGTGCATTAAACCTAAATTTATTATTGTTTGTTGCATTTTGTCCTTTTTCTGGGACTCAACAGGATCTTTGTTTTCGCTTTTGTGGTTAAATGTATTTATAGGGAAAAATTAGGTGAAAAGCTAAAGGGGTCTGTCATTGAGAACTCTATACCCAACATGACATCATGACTTTTGCGTAAACATATATGCCACTTTCGAGTCAGGTGGCGTGTCATCTCTACGCATTTTGAGCTATCCGCGTGTATGTCTACGCCATTAACGTCCGCGTCATTCCGCGTGTCTGAACACGCAGTCAAATCTTCAGTCATAAATGCCATTAACCCCAGTGACGGTTAAGTTTAGGGATGGGGTTGAGGTAAGTCATATCTTTTTTTTACCTAGGATGGTAAGGGAACACTCATAAATGCCATTAACCCCAGTGACGGTTAGGTTTAGGGACGGGGTTGAGGTAAGTCATATACTGTATTTATATAACGTTAAGTCAACGGCGTTCATAAACACGCTGAAAGGCGATTATGCGTCTTGATAGCACGCCAAAAATGGAAATACGAATTGGCGTGTCATACACACGCTACTTCATGAGATCAGTCTGCTATACCTGTATTTTATCATCACAGGTGTGTTTGGTCAAAGGTTGGAGGAGACGGTCCTGTATGAGAGGAGGTATGGGGATCACATGGCTCCTCTGGTGGTAGAGCAGTGTGTCCATTTTATCCGAGAGCATGGGCTCACAGAGGTGGGACTCTTCAGGCAGCCGGGCCAGGCTACGCTGGTTAAAGAGCTGCAGGAAGCTTTTGATGCTGGAGAGAAGCCATCTTTTGACAGGTAAGAGATTGACATGAATCGGTACAGGTACCGCAGAGATAATGTTTAAATCTGCAATAAGTATGTCTTGAATTTTGAAAGTTTTATAGGCCTTAGAGACAGACATATCTGGAGACATTTGTACTCCAATGTATGGGTACCCAGATAGCACAAGTCTATTTGATGTGTATGTTTACATCTGGAAGACGTATTTTTAAGAGTGTTTGCTCATCTGCAAGACGTCTATGGGACGTTTCCTGTCAGATGTCAAACAGACGTTTAGAAGATCGAATGCATGTTAAACTGACATCTTAAAGACATCTTCTAAACGTCTATTTGACATCTGACAGGAAACGTCCTATGGACGTATTGCAGATGAGCGTATTGGAGATGGACGTCTTCCAGATGTAAATATCACATCAATTAGACTTGTGCTATCTGGGAATGGGAAATGCACTCTAAAAAATGCTGGGTTGTTTTAACCCAATTTTGGGTCAAATAGGGACAAATCCAATTGTTAGATGAAAAAAAATGCAATTTATAAATTTAACCCAACAGCTGGGTTCATCCATTTTTGACCCAAAATTGGATTAAAATAAACCAACAATTTTTAGAGCGTGTTTAATCATTTGGTCATTCGTCCAGTTTCTCTTTTAATGGTACGAGAACTGAATTAAAACTGCAGACAGACATGATCAGGTCTGAAACAATGGCTGAACATTTAACCCAATGGCTGAGTTTGTCCATATTTTACCCAAAGATGGGTTAAAACAACCCAGCATTTTTCATAGTGTAAAAAACAACATATCTGGTTTGTCCAAATGCTGTTGTTATGTCCATATCAAATAAATAAATGGTGCCAAGTGCAACAAAAAAACACCATTTTCCAAAATACAATTATCTGAATAATTTATTTTAATTCTAATTCAGTGAATTGCACTGCCTACAATTATAATTTAATGTTGGACATGGTCAATTTAAATCAACTTATGAATTAAAATAGTGCTGATTCAAGTTAAAGAAAAAAAACTTTCAACAGGGTTAGGGTTAGGATTAGGGGATAGAAAAATAATTATGTCTATGGAGAGTCCCCACAAAGACACCCAAACCTAACATGTGTGTGTGTGAATATTATTAAGTAAATTAATTTGTACAAATACTTGTGTAAGTGAATTTACACTTGTAGTGAATACGTTTGCTCTCTCAGCAGCACAGATGTCCACACAGTGGCATCTTTGCTGAAGCTATACCTCAGGGAGCTGCCTGAACCTCTGGTGCCATTTTCCCGCTATGAGGAGTTTCTTATATGTGGCAAAAGAATCCCCTCAGACAGAGAAAAGGTATCGTCAACTATAGCACTCACTTCAAAGAAGAGCACGATGCTATTTGATCAATTTAAACAAGATAATACGATCACATTCTGGACATTTAAGTGCTGACAAGAATCTCATCCTGAATTTCAGGGTTTGCAAGATTTGAAGAGTCTCCTTTATGAGCTGCCTGTAGCAAACTTCAACCTCCTGAAATACATCTGCCAGTAAGATCATTTTGTTTCGTCCAAAGAAATCTAAGGATTTGGTTTTCAATACCTAGATATTGGCATTTGGAGCTTTAACCTAATTTGCCATGAAGCGTCTAGTCTTTAGTCATGGCTCACGACAGATAACACTGCTATGACACATCTTTGTACCAGATTCTTAAACGATGTCCAATCATACTCCAATGTCAACAAGATGAGTATCCAGAACTTGGCGACTGTTTTCGGGCCAAATATTCTCCGGCCTAAAGCAGAGGACCCAGAAAGCATCATTGGAGGTAAGCAATATTTAGTAAAGGGTTAATGACTTGAGATACATCTCAAAGGTGCATTGTGTCATATTTAGGAGGATCTATTGACAGAAATCATGATCATATACATAACTGTTTTCAGTGGTGTATAAAGTCCTTACGTAATGAACTGGTGTGTTTTTATTAACTTGGAATAAGCCATTTCCATCTACATACACTGCAGGTCCCCTTACATCGAAATAGCCATGTTTCTACGGCAACATGTTTCTACACACTGTAAAAAATATTGTTGTTTTAACTTAAAAAATTAAGTAAAATGGTTACCTTAAAATTTTAAGTTGATTGAACTGGAAAAAGTGAGTTAATACAATGAAGGAGATTCATTTAATCATCAGAAACTCAAAATAATAAGTTATCTCAACTAAATAAATTATTTAAGTTGATTTGACGAAAGAAAAAATGTTGTGATAACAAATCTTGAAAATGCAGTATACCTAACACACTCTGTCACTGTTCTTTGTGCAAAATGATGAACAAGTAACAATAATATTCGTAATAATAGTTTTACTGAATAATTAAGTAAACATGATTTCTTCATTTATATTTGTAAAGAAACCTCATTGCTTAACTGGTTACTCTCTGCTAACGAAATCTTTTCCTGACAGCCACCGCAACTTCTGTTGGTTGCAATTCGCAACCTCACCACTAGATGTCGCTAAAAATCACACACTGCACCTTTGAGTTACTGTATATGCTCATTTGCTTGTGAGGTCAAATACTTGCGAGGATATTCTCCACCACACACTTAAACGTCCCTCTGTCCTACACTAGGGGCAGCAGTTGTGCAACATCTAATGTCTGAACTGATCCGTGAGCACAGCTTGCTCTTCTCCAGAGAGAACTGCAACCCTCCTGAAACATCTTTGCAAGCCGTCCACCAAAAACAAAGACACAGTAACCTTGTGGAATGGGTGCATGAACCACCTTCCCACCAGAGGGAGCCTTTGCTTGGCGAAGATCACGTGACCCTTCCAGATCAGACTCCAGCCTGTCCACGTGTAAACTCTCTACCACTAACCACAGAGAGGAGAGGGTATTTTCAAAGCCCTTGTGAGAAAAACATTAGCCATCATCTTTCGGACACAGAGACACAGATTGAAGATGACTCTTCACCAACCAGCTCTACTCTGATTTATGACAACCACAGTCAACACAGCTCAGCACAAGAATGTCTCCATAAAAGACATGTACCTACACCCTCCACCCCACCACCTGCCTGCCCTTCTAAGACCAAAGTGCTGGAAGCTGGAGTTGAAATTTGTGTGCAGTCAAGGAGCTGGCCTGACATAGAAGAACCCAGATGGAGTCCAGAGAGAGCGCTTGGGGAGAGTGGAGGCAGCAGTGAAGTCCAAGATAGTACCTTATCTGTCTATGACAACATAGTAACTGAGGAGCGATATACAGAAGACAAGGAGGCCAAAGGTACTGCCAGCATGGCTGAGAGCAGCAGCTCTTGGTCCTCCTGTGAGATTGCACCTTTGGAAGGGGGCAGTGGTGGTGGAGCTGCAAGCCCATGCCATGGTTCTCCAGCACAGTTCCCCTCATTCAGAATGGACTCTGGTGAAGACGATCTTCGCCCTAACTCCCCTGCCTCATCATCTGCTCCCACAGATGCCCCTTTAAGCACCGGCAGCAGTGAAGTCTTTTTGCCAAGTGCTCCCCAAGAGCCCTTAGGTTTTCCAGCATCGCATGCCATGCAGTGCCTCGTTGCGGGACTTCGTCAACAGATGACCAGGCAAAAGGCAGAGTATGAAGCAAAATTGAACAGGTAAGATCACATCATCAATTGTCTTTGTACCACAATTGTTTTGTAATGCCAAGTTCAGACTGCGCGATTTTCAAAGTAGTCGGGTCGCTGTTCTTGGCCAGCATTCAGTCGCTGCTGTGTTCACACTGCACGAGTGATCGGCGACAGAAGGTTTCACTCTGCATGACTTTACAACAGGAAGAATCGCCGACAACTCTGTCTAGCACGCTGCGCGCAAACTACATACGTTTCACAACAAATACACATGAGATGTGACAAGGAAACAACACGACATCACACGTACAAGATCAGAGTTCTCAAGTGAGACTTTGTTCTTTTTCGACCCGGCTGTGGTACAGCTCAGATGAAACGTCAAACAGACACGAGTGCCATTTCTTGTGTCCAAATAGACAGAGAAGAAGCCTTTTTTCTGAAACAATGCCATGCATGTTGATTTGTGATCTATAACTCCTCCCCGAACTCCCCGCTGCTCATTGGCTGTCGGTCATCGCCGATTAGGGTTGGGTATCGAGAATCGAGTATCGACTGGAACCGAGACTAACTTTTCGTTTTTCCCGGAATCGTTCAAAAGTAAAAATTTCGATTCCTAGTTTCGATATTCACAGTCCGCCGAGCGGAAGAAGAAACCGCTGAACAACACCAACGAAGAAGCGTCTACCGGAAGTGTTGCCATAACCATGCGAGTCGAACATGAGTGCCTTAAGTCGGTGATCCAAAGTGTGGCTTCACTTTTCTTAAAATAACGAAATCTCGGCAAAATGCAAAATTTGTGACAAAAGGAGTATTTTTACAGAAGGAGTATTTCCTTCAGAAAGGATTATTTCCTTCAGAAAGGCCGTTGGTTAGCAAGGTTAGCTAAACTTTTTTGACCCTGCCTCTAAAAAGAATCGGAATCGAGAATCGTTAGGAACCGGAATCGAAACAAGGAATCGGAATCAGAATCGTTCAAATTTAAACGATACCCAACCCTATCGCCGATGTAGTTTTCAGTCAGAACACTTTTCACACAGCAGGATTTTGAATCGCCAACAGGTCCAGATATTTAGCATGCCCAATATCTCACGGGCGTCGGTGACTTGTCGGCGATTCTCTCAGATCGCGTCTTTGCTTATTCACACTGAGTGATTGTCACTCGCGTGAACGAGCACCGATTTGCCTGTGAATTCGTGCACTTGTCAGCGATTTCTCAAATCCTGTCGGCGAGCCAAATCGTGCAGTCTGAACTTGGCATAAGGGAAAATTGCAAATCTCTGGCACTGTTATTACATTAGACGCAAAGGCAGAAACCCTACTCTGCTCTACTATGAAGAACTACTGTCCTGAAGAGTTTAGCTGTAATCCTTATCAAACACACCGGAACCAGCAAAATTAAGGTGTTTGGGACGACTTAAATTTACATGCAGGTGTGTTGGAACAGGGCAAGGTCTGAACAGTGTAGGAAGGTAGATCTCCAAGAGCAAGGTTGAATTTGAATGGTTCAGGAAAGTATCTCTCCAGACCCTTCCGTTTTAGGTCTCTGAGTCTCTACTAGAGATGCACGGATGGGCTATTATTTCATTCGCAACCACATGACAAAACTCACAATCCGTCCGCCAGCCATCCGCATCAACGTTTTTGACCAATTTTCAAAACCGCATCCGCCCGCCATCCGCTGATTGGGCGATACAAGGCTGCTGATGGCAGCCGCGAGACTAGAAAACTCTCAGAATATCAGCAGTGAACGCCGTCTCCGATCGGCACGCAGGGACACAAATAAATAAATGTAATGCATGTTGGATCGGGTGTTTTGTTTATGGTGGCGAATGCGCTACTGTGCGCCTAGTTTCTTTTTGTTTTTAGTCCCAGACACGCCGACCCTGTCTTCTTCCTTCCACACACACTGAACCTCTTCATACTGACCTTATCTGATTGGCTACTGTACAATATTTTCATTGTAGCCTAATAGAAAACGCATTTTGGCACATAATTTGGTTAAACCACCCGCCCGAATTTAATTAAAATATTTTTTAGTCACGTCATCTGCCCGATCCGCGGTTTATCCGTGGCTGTAACCGCACATCTCTAGTCTCTACTAACAAGCTGATGAGTTGAATCAGGCGTATTTGATTGGGCAGATGTGCCGAGTTGGTGTGCCTCCAGGAACACGGTTGAGAAACACTAGATTAATGAACGAGTGTGCATGAACACAGAAAGTTTACCCCATTCTCTTCTCTGTCTTCAGGCTGGAGCAGAGGAACACGGTACTTCAGGGGGAAGTTGCAGGGCTCCGCTCAACTCTGGAGCAGCAGCGACGCTGGGTCAGCGTGGCCGAGATCAAGATGCGAAATGTGGAGCGAGCCCGTGCAGACGCTGACAGACGGAACGCCACTCTGCAACAGGAGATGGAGCAGTTCTTTGAAACATTCGGCGAGCTTAAAGCGGAGGCCCAGAAAACCAGTCGCATTGTTCAGAGTTTTTGAATTCACACGCTGTGCAACAGATACAAGCTTAGCAGCATATGAAAGGTTTCAATGTTTAGGGCAGTGTTTTCCAACTGTGGTCCTGGAGTACCCCTTTGGATATCTTCCTCTGATACCCCCATTTCAGAAAGAAGTTTCACAAACCAGCTGCTGAGTTTAATTACGGAGACATGTGTAATGTTGGAAGTACTCCAAGATCAGGTTTAGAAACACCGGTTTCAGAGTAATAACAGTGTTAAAAACAGGATTTCAGGGCTGTATAAATGAGGGTGCATTCCTGAGGGAAACCGTTGCCCCACTTTGACATTTATTCATTTAGCTGACGCTTTTATCCAAAGCGACTTACAATTGCTATATGTGTCAGAGGTCGCACGCCTCTGGAGCAACTAGGGGTTAAGTGTCTTGCTCAGGGACACATTGGTGTCTCACAGTGGATTCGAACCCGGGTCTCTCACACCAAAGGCATGTGTCTTATCCATTGTGCCATCACCACCCACACTTTTAAGTACAGTTCTGTTGCCTGAACGACTGTATGGACCAGCATGTTCAAAATAATATTATAGACAATTTTTTTGCCATTTAAGTGTTCAGACAATGGAATGGACCCAAAAGTAGGATAGAGTTTCATGATGTAGACATCATGGTCTGAGCATGGATGCCATATTTGAGAAAAGAGATTCTAATGAAAATTTGTCCCTAGGGATACTTTACGATAAATGAGCTCAGACTTAAGAAGTCTCTGCCCTGGCTTGGGGTCAATATGCATTATGTAATGGAGTAAGACACTCATACCTTGTACAAAAGCTCTTCATACACTGAATTTAGTTGTACCATATGAAATAAAAATGGAAAAGAAATAAAGACATCAAACTACTTTAGTTTGAGATTTTTATTTGGACAGGCGTAACACATGGTTCTTTTTTTCTTTTCGTAGAGAAAAGAGGTCTCGCTCTATTATTGTAGACAGAGAATCGCATTTAAGTTTTGCATATGCTTCAGATAGGTTTGTGATTTGGGTAATTCCCACCATAACCCACTGCAGCACAACAATACAAAACACATGAAAACTAAACAGACACTACTAGCACAGAGCAGTTAGATATTAATTCCTTTTCCAGGATTTGATTGAGAAGATTGATGATGACAATCATGAGAACTATTTTCTTAGGAAGATATTCTGAGAAGTAAGTTTCCAAGAAGTCAATAATTCTTCAAGTCATTACAGATTCCACCTCTAGTGATAGATTGTCAGTGACAAAAAAAAAACCCACACACACCCTCTCCCACAAGGGAAACAGACACCTAAAAGAAGAGCCCTTGAGAATGTGTGAGCCAGCTTTGTTCAGAGTCTCTATATGACACGAAGGTCCATCATTGAGTCCACAACAGCGAAACTAATGTGCATGAGGCTCCAAAATGAAAATGGCACACAATGCACTATTGCATTGTTGTAACACATGATCACTTTCAGGTGAAGTAAGGTGAAGCACCAAATGAGGTCTTGTGGCATGGTAGCAAACATTCCTGACTGCTGAAAAAGAAACAAAACCTGATTGCAGGCACATTACTGTCCATCATTTTGTGATCTCCAGGCCAAGCTGTAGCGATGGTGTTAGTGAGATGCTTAAAGGCATGATTGTTACGGTGAAGCTAAGTTCATCCTCCAGACCTGTCCATCAGTGAAAGTTCTACATTCATGTTTCAGTCCATCAGAAGAGCTTGGGAGGACCAAAAATACACTCAAAATGTCCTTCTGAGGCTCTCAATTTAGTCTTCTCCAACAAAAGGACAGCTTTCGCCAATGTCCTCAAGTTTTAAATGAAGAGGGCTCGTGTTTTCATGCATAACAATGAATTTAGGGTACAGGACACATCATAGAGTCTACAACATTTGAACTGAACACCGGATGAAAAGGGAAGCAGAAAGGTTGACAAACCAGGTCTCCATCATGAATACCAGTGTTAAAGAACACAGTCCAAAACGGGTCTCTAAGTGCATGTTTAGCCACAGTGTTACTGAATTGCATGTCTGCACACAGTAAACAAAGGCTGAATAGACATATATATACACACACACGCATATATAAGGCCTGGGCATCGCATCCAAAATAAAAAGTTTGTGTTTACATTATATATGTGTGTGTAGTGTGTATAATTATTTTGTATATATAAATACACACATGCATGTATATATTTAAGAAATATTTGCATGTTTATACTTTATACATAATTAATATTATATATAAATATTTGATATATTAATAACACATTTTTCTTAAATATATACATGCATGCGTGTTTGTATTTATATATAAAAAATAATTATACACACTACACACACATATATTATATAACCACAAACTTTTATTTTGGATGCGATTAATCGCAATTAATCGTTGCCCAGCCCTAAATGATATGGCCATTTTCTTCAGTGTTTCACTGAAACGAATCTTCGAGAGGAAAGTGAAGAAATAAAAACCTGCTGACAATCCTGTTTTTTTGTTTTGTTTTTTTTTTAAAGGAAGGAAACCATAAATTTGCTTTGTACAACATTCGTATGGGCTTTTCAAGTTTGAGGAAATTAAAAAAGGCAATGGTTTGCATTCGCTCATGCAATTAAATATACAATCTTATGAGAGGTCACGAACTTGCCAGCAGTGATTAATTACCCTTGGAATGATGAGAAAAACGGGCTTTGATTAGGATATTGCATCCACAGTTTGCCATCTCAGATCTAGATGCAAGTTTTTGTTTCTTTTTAAACCGAATATGCTCACTTTGAAACATCTATGTGCAATTTTCTTTTAAAATCAGTTTCAAGTTCCATACATAGTTTGTTTTTGAGTACATATGCAAAAAACGTATTCAGAAGCTGCACAAAGAAAGAACATTTACACAAAATCAATGTACGTAAATATACACACAAACATGACTACACCCTAACCAACATAAATGCATCATTAGGTTCTCTTTTAAAATGGGCGTATGTATGGTGACTATGTACAGAGGCAGGCACTACTGTTCCATTTCTAGATATTTCAGTGATCTGTAGTTAAATGGTCTCTGTAGTGAGTCTTCTTTGTTATCATGCAGCAATACTTGTAAGAGGAACTTGTTCCAGTTGGGCTCACTAGCTATAAATTTGTCAGAGAATTTATATCTGTGCTTCTTTTAGGTGATGAAATGAACAGTGATAAAAGCTACATCGCACAGAGAGAGAGAGGGATAGATCCAGATATCACACATGCTTCTGCAATAATAATAAATCCACTAGATGGATAAGACGGTGATTAAAATTAGTTTACATGAAGTAAAATGTGAATGCATTATTACCTATCTACCCATTTTAAACAGTTCTTTTTAAAATCTAAAAGTAAAAGTTAAACTTACAAGAAATGGATAAAGAGAATATTTCATGAATGTTTGGGACAGAGGAAAAAAGCAAGAGTAAACAATTATTAGTGTAAACCTGCAGCTGTATGAACGTCAAGATCACGGCATGAGCCACACTGGCGAGGGAGACGCGACGAGCGAGAAGTCGTCACCTGATTCACTCCTCTAACGGCCCCGTGAGGGTGTCGATGCAGGAGCTGTCAGTGTCTGAGGCCAGGGTCTGCTCCGTTGACATGGACGAGATGTCATTAATAGAGGACGACTGGGAGGCAGTGGCGCTGCTGTTCACCGTACCATCTACAACACACACAGGGCAATGCATCAAAATTATGGCGCAAGATAATGCGCTAAATATGTCTAACATTTTTACTTTTACATCTTTCATTGTGTTACAAAATTGATTTTCAGTAACTGAACGTAATTCAGTAGTTACTTAGCTTGCATTAGCATTGCTGTTCTTTGTGTATTTAAGCTAAAAGACTGCATTTATTTACTAAAACCTCAATGATGTTACTCTGATAACCGAGTTTTAGACAGCGACAATGAAGTTTGACGCTCACTTTTTTCCCTAAGGAGCACATGTGCTCCTAAAATGAAAAACGTAGGGGTGCAATGAAAATGTATCACATAATATGTTTTTCCTTAATAAAGGAATACAAAGAGACATTAAATAATAAAAGTACATAACGTTTTTAAATATTTCTGCTTCAAAATTAAATAAGAAAAAGAGTTACTTAATTTAACTAATGAACTGATTATTGTGCTAATACCGGTCAAATCTATATTTTCAATATGTGTTAAATAATGTTTTTAGTCTTTCCTTCCTGTGACGGGGCAACCCAGACTGAAGCTACAAGTGTTGATTTACACCATGTTTACACGGAAACGATTCTGAAGAGAAAACGCAAAAGTCACTTTTTATTCTGCGTTTAGACGAGCGTTTTGTGTGGGAAATCTGCGTGCAAATGGTGACGCAAAAGTGTGTGAAATTCAATGTAGTATGCACTTCAGGCGGCTAGGAGTGCACACTACAACAACACCAAGTCCACGCGCCTGCGTACAACCTTCACTGTCAAGCAGACTTTTGCGTTTTTACCGTTTACACGGGAACGCGGCGGTGGAGCATTTTTAAGATTTCCACTCTGGAGGGTGGTTTCACTTTTTTGTGTTTTTAAGCCTCAAAAACGCCGTCGCCGTGTAAACGAAAGGCACATCCGATAAAATATTTTTACGTTTTCACCCGGAATCGTTCTCGTATAAACGGGGCCTTAAATGCCAGATGGTTTTGTACAACCAAAATGCCAATAATAACCAGGTGAAAAAACTATGCATAATGAGGGACTTAAAAAAAAGCACAGGGACTCTTATTTTGGAATTTGTACGCTTTACTATGGGCTATATGCACGCATAAGTTCCGCATTTGACGTAAGGATGCTCGTCCATTTCCGGTTGTGTAGATTAAAGCGGAGGAAAACCGGAGAAAACGGGATTATGGCAGAGTCTTCAATATTTACTGTCCTCCCGTCTTTGAAACGAAACGTACATACGTTTAGATGTAATTTTATATATAGTTATGTTTATTTAATATAATTTTAAAAAGAAGCATAAACACAACGAGGGGTGTCTGTTTTATCTGTTTTTGTGACTAACGTTTCATTAGTATAACCATGGAGTATAAAATTCAATATAAATTCTCGGTATTGCATTGGACTCTATGATCGGCGGAAGTTATCGAGCATCCCTAATGCTTCACCGGAAATAACGCCGTGCATAGAGCCCATTGCTCATTCAACGAAGTGAATGTACCTGGTGTACAGCATTCAAGTTGACTTGACAAAAACACAATTTATTTCTTAATGTGTAAAAGTTTTTAAATTAGCACCAAACTACTGAATGCACCTTAAATCACTCATTTTATTTGAAATAAATGGGACTTAATAGGTGACAAAAATAGTGGTTGACCGATATTGTTTTTGTTTTTTTATGGCTGACATTTTAACATATACTTTATATTTATTTTAATCAATATTTGATCAATTAATTAGAAAAAACTTTAAAATTAACATGCTTATTCTTTACAATACAATAATAGTATTTTATTAACAGGGCACTCAGTAATCTGGGTATTTCTGTGCGCACCTGGTAATCATTTTTTTAAAATTTTCCCAAATAAAGACAATATAACACTAATTTTACATACAGCACACAGTGAAAACTATATGAATAAGACACACTGGGCAAATTGACATAGCCCAGCATATTTTAAAATGAAGGATATTTTTATTTTTAATTTTAGATTTTTATTTTTCCGATTGTGCCTCCCGTGTCGCTGATCACTCACTTCGCACAGACCGACCGTCACTCGCAGTTAAACGTTTATGCAGGCTACAAATGCACATTTCACAAGAAATCACAGCTGGATATCACAGTTTTTGAAATTAAATGGTTAGCAGATTCATTTTGATGTAGATGCGCATTTGCTGAATGTTGACAGTAAATAAGAAAGTATTTTAGCCTGATTTTTTCTCTTTTCTGTTACAAATAATATAAAAGCAAACACTTTACTTTTCCACAGACAATTTACTTTCTTTGTTTAGAGTTCTGTCTAACAACATATTACATATGACTGAGAGAGATCGTAAACTAATGAAGATGGAGAATGTGTGAGAACTCTGCTTCTCAGGCGTTCTCAGCGCCGCCCGTCAAAATAAAAGTCTGGAGCGGCGTCAAAATAAAAGTCCCGCTTCAAACACATGAAAATTAGAAAAACGAATTGGCCAATCCGATATTTTTTTTTTTTTAAATGCCAAATGTCAACTAGATAGAGAAAGCTGGATGAATACACAGATTTCACATTTGTACAATGACTCACCTAAACACTCATCTTTCAGGACTCCATTCTTGTTCCTCTCCTCCCAGTCCATTACTTCTTTATAAATCAGCTCTGTAGGGAAAGAAAACCCCCAAGAAAACATAAGCAGAGTTTGTCCATTTCCATCTTTTTTTACAAATCACTAATAAAGCCAACTCAACCCTTCAGCAGACATTAGCTTATAAAGGTCAAGGCTGAAAAACTAATGAGATCTTCGGTGATCATTTCAGCTGTAGGCATTCATTTTCTACAAACAGGAGGTAGTGACAGCAGAGGGCATTTGTACCTTTCCACTGCTCAATGCTGTGTTCCCGCTCCTCCAACTGCTTGTCTGATATCTGTGGAGGCGGCTGAACACACAAAACAATCATTACAAGTCCTTCTCTCGAGGGAGAACCTTCTTGGCATTGTACAAATGTCCCCTGTAAAACTGGACAGGACAAAGTGACATGAAAGTATAAGGGTGCACTGACCGCATCGGCCTCGGCTGGGTCGTACCACACGTGGATGTAAGGGTGGCTCAGGGCCTCCTGCACAGAGATACGGCTTTCAGGGTCGATGACCAGCATCTTGGACAGCAGGTCTCGTGCTTGACTAGCTTCATTAGGACCGATGTAAAAAGTAATTGTTTAGAACACGCGAAGTAAGATAACACGCACAAAAAAAGTTACAGACATGATGGAAGATTTAGGATGTCTTACTTTTGATCTTGTCATGCTCAGTCTCTGATGGGAAGGCCCAGTCGGGGAAAAGCTCATTCAAACTGACTCCGGGAAACTGAGGTTTGTTCATCACGTAATTCCTTACAGTCTCCATCAAACGGTTCATGAACTCCAGCGACGGGGTTCCCAGTATCTCAATTACCTTATTCCACTGGTCAATATCTGAGTTTTTTTTTTTAAATTAAGGTTTAGGTTTAAACCTTTAAATGTCACCTGACACCTTTTGATCAATTTAATGCATCCTTGCTGAATAGAACTATCAATTTCATTCCAAAAAAACTGAACTGACCCGGCAGCTTGTTACAAAAGCTTTCTATGCATTTAAAAGTTACATCTATATAAATACATATTTTCACAGGGCTTTTAAACAAGACTCAAGAGGATACGATCAGTGCCCTGGAATATGACGCTCCCTTTGACCATCTCCCCCATGATGCAGCCCACCGACCAGATATCCACTGGCAAAAACACAAAGAAACATTAATAACAATTGTATTTGTATCTCTCCAATGGCTTTCAAGAATATTACTGAAAAAAATAAATAAAATAGCATTACCATTCTCCTTGTATTTCATGCCCAGGATGACCTCTGGCGCTCTGTAATATCTGGTCACTACATAGGGTGTCATCATGAAGTTAGTGCAGGCGGTTCTGGCCAGCCCAAAGTCTAAAATCTTTAAAGTGCAGTCGGACTTCACTACTATGTTACTGGGCTTCAGATCCTGCGGGGCAGAGATGATAAAGTCTCATACAGTCATGCTGAAAGACAATCTCACACGTTGGTATACTGTAACGTCAAATGGCTCAGAGAACACAGCTGGTGGTGTGTCATGATCATTGCCATTATTTAAACCTGAGCTTGAAGCATTTAGTGGGGTACAAATTATTCAAATGATCTGACTTTGTAAAACTTCCATCTGAAAGAAAGTCCCCGAACACTTTTATACCAGTGGCAGTGAGAATGATTACTTTTATTGGGTGGTTGTTGAATGATTATTGTTTGTGATTATTGTTTTTACGATAAGGAACATTTTTATATTTGATGGAAAATTAAAGGGATACTTCACTGTACAATCCAACGTGTTTAGTGTATATTTGGTGCTAGTCTTTCATATCACTTTGTAGTTTTGTTTCTTAAAAAAAAAAAAGAAAAGAAAGAAATTTCACTCAAATCCATTTTTGATTTTCATGTATTTTTTAAGCAGCCATGTGGGATCATTCTTAATCAAGGTGCACCAAAAACCAAAAAATGAAACAAATGTGTTTAGTTAACATGGTTACCATGGTTAATTGGTATTATTATTTTATAATTATTCTTACTTAACTGCCAAACGAGTTGTAGTTACATCTCACCCTGTGAATGATGCCAGCTGAGTGTAGATGTCTGATGCCACACAGGATCTGGTAGAGCAGGTAAGACATCCTCTCATGGTCCAGGTCCATGTGGATCACCTGACAAAGGCTAGCATCCATCAGCTCCATCACCAAGTATCTGAGGAGAGAAACCAGATTCTTCAGGGTTTTCTGTGTTCATGTACAGCTCATGCATAGTACTTACTGGCATAAAACAAGCCAAGATCCTGTCAGACTGGAAAAACTGGTTTAGGCTGCAAATTAACATTTGAGCTCCCCCTCGTGCACCATTGAGACGAAGATCTCACCTCCCTCATCCTAATCTACACGGGATCCGAAGATCAGCCAAACTCACACAAGAATCGAAATGGTTTAATGTGATTGATTATCATCGAGTATTATACATGTCTAATGTCATTCAAAATGTCTCAGTGTGACTGGTACAAATGTCTTATTTCCAAATATCCATTGTTGGTCTATGTAATGAAATGCAGCAAGTGACTCTGGGCCTTTTCTGTACTTCAGATGAGCCTATGAGGCTGAGAAAGGCAGAGTCTCTCAGCTTCAAGTATTTCTTAAATGTTGGGTTCGCATTTCTTCTCTTTATTCCAGAGCATTTGATGTTTTGCAGTGATTATCTTTGAACTGATTATAAAATATGTAAGTTTACCTGAGACAATACATTCTTAAATTTGATTATTCTAACTGACTTTGACATTATTTCCAGAAAAGAGTTAAAGGAAGTGTCAAACTTTCACTTCTATTTAATGATGCACAGATATCATTAAAAAAAAACTTTTTTAATTTATGAAGTCAGATGAAATAACGAGAGAATACGTATGAGAAAATGTATTGCATTTAATCAAAAATACTTTACCACGAGAAAAGACAGCAACACACAGAGACATTCACCCGCTGATCGGATGCCTCCATTGGGCCGACCGTAAGCTTAATACATTGAGTCAGCGGCACTTTTATAAAACAGCAATAGAAGTGCTGTTGTCAGGAGTTAATCATGATTTAATAACATATAATTTTCGATCCTAAAGCTGTAAATTATCACATGTAAGAGTAGAACAATGCAATTCATTAGCTCCTTTGCATAGTGGTCTCAGCAAAATTATGAATGTTAATAATCACTCAGAGGGCCAAAGCACCAATAGACCCTGCGGCTACACAAACTAAATTACGTCAGCATAAACGCATGAATTTATAAACTCAAAACTTACAAATCCTGGAACTCTTCTAATGACTTCTGAGGCGTGAAGACGTTAAGCAAACGGATGATCTGGGAAAAAAAGAAAAGAAAAAAGTGAAACATGATTAAACAAATTTAAGATTCAACCTGACAACAAAGGCCAGGGTCTCACTGCCTGATTTTCATTGATAACCATCACAGTCCCAGGAGAATTGTCCACTATCAAACGAATAAATCAACCCAATATGCTTACTGTTTGCAGATGAACCAATATGAGTATATTATATACTAGATTCAATATACTTATCAATCCAAAGATGAAAGAGATTTATTTGTGGATTTTCCATTATTATAAATATTAACAGTAATTACCGCTCATATTGCCTTAAGACATATTGACCCATACAACAACAACAATAATTATTATCATTAAATAAAAATTAAATGAAGTGACTATCTTTACGAATGGGTCACTGAATCATTCCTTCAAGCATTTTGGTCAAAAACGCTATTTATTCAGGAACAAAACAGTAGTGCGTTTCTCTGAGATGTGCAGCCAATAATATTTAAAATGTATTAACAATAATAATAATAAATATATAAAAAGTACCGAAAAAATTGCAATACCAATATCCATGGCTGTCGTAATTTCGTAAAATTGACATCCCTATGATAATGATAAAAAAAAAGATATTCTAACTGGGTTATGTTAGTCCAAGAATTACATCTGAATTCAGGTTATGCCAGTTTGTGTTTATGTGGTACTCCAGTTCTTATTTCTTAACTTCACAATCGTAGAGAATAATCAGCGGTAGTTGTTTAGTCCATTACTCCTCTGACATTCTCAACCGGTGAGTGTGACAGAAGTCTGACATTTAAGCAAAAACAGTCCGTAGGTACGACAGCCCTGACCAAAGTTGCTCAAGTCAGTTCAAATTGTACTTCTGAGTGGAAGAGTGCACTGTTAAGGGGACGTACGTTCTTGTGATTAACACACTTGAGCAGAACCAGCTCTCTGTAGGCCCTCTTCGCATGGGTCTGGTTCTGAAAGGGCCGGCTCAGTTTCTTCACAGCAACTGGGATGCCAAGTACGGTGTCCAGAGCAGAGCTTAATGGGGCAGAAAAGCAGGCACACTCAACTAATCACAATCATCATTGTAGTTTGTTCGTTTTTTAACACCATGCCAGCGAAATATCTATAATAAGAAGAACAAACGTTATTTTCTACATCTCAAAGCACTTAAAATAATAATAATAAAAGAGAAATACAATTATATAAAGATAAGTACATTCAGATATACAATACAAAAATATAAACGTATCAAAACAATTCAATAGGATAGAAAAAAGATTTATTTAGAAGTAATCAAATAAGTCAAATAAAAGCTACCCTAAAAATGTAGTTAAGAACACTGGTAAAGTTCTTCAAAAGAGTTAACTGAGGTATCCCACAGGGTTAACCAGCACAATCTAATAAAACATGTTCCTATAATAAAGCGTTTTGACAGAGAAAACATGATTCATCATTGTAGTAACCATCATCAGCGGTTCGAACATGATTCATATCCATATTTGTGCATGGCCAATGTTCTACTGTACCTCAATCCCCTTTTAAATGTCATTACTGTATCGTACGGTTTAGTGTCCATCTCCTGCACTTGGATAAACAATTTAGACATGCAGCTGGCCGTAAAAATCCCCCTTATTATTACTACAGCTATAAAACCAGGGATCAAAATCTCTAATGAGACATTCAGGTCAATGACAAAATCACATCTGCCACGTTCATGACAAATGGAGACAGGCGATGCCTAATGGGATGTGTGCTGATGACATCATTAGTATGGAGGGAGGCAGATAAAACTCAGCTAATTCCAGCCGCCCACTCACCAGACGATACCCTGGGCACCGGATCCGATGGCGCGGAGCTGCTGGTACCTCCTGAGCACCGTGAAGGTGGAGTCCCCCACCTGCACGCTGTAAAACTGTCCCTCCCCCTCGGTCATGGCTCCTCCCACTGAGTGCTGTGAGACGGATCAAACCTGAGAGAGAAGGAGCGCAGTAGATGAGAGAGATGATGTGAGACGTGGCAGCGATGATTGCATCATTGCTCACTCCCCCGTGTTTACTGCACCGCGTTGGGGGGGGGGGTGGCATTGCCGATGACTCATCCAAGGAGAATCAGATATAACGCATAGCCATACTGAATGACACAGGATACCTATAGGATGCCATTACAAAGTCAAGCCAGAGATAGAGCTCAGAGATAAAAGCTTTGGTCCACTGAAAGGCCATTCTTGATGCATTTAAACAACAAACTATAAACAAGTGATGTCTATCCTTCATACACTTCCCTGACCTTACTAAGCAAAGCTTACATCCTTCTCTAATTTGCAAAAGTTGGGGATTTGAACAAACCACTAGAGGTGTAAATACACAATAATGGTTCGGTACATAGTACATACATTGAAGTCTCGGTTGGGTATGTTTTTGGTACAAAACGGGGAAAACACAATTGCTTATTTTTTTCTTTTTCATTAAACATTGGTTACTGAACTTAAAAGGGTTGATGAGCAATTAGCAGTGAAAGAGAAATAATTTTTTTGTTATATGCAGCACGAGCTGTCAAAGAGACTGTTTCTCATAAAGCTAAAAACTTAAAGGGTCACTCCACCCATTTGCATTTAGATTTCCATTGTTAGTCTCCAGTCATACTATTGAATGGTCGTGCAACACTCTCTCATTTTCCCCTGAGATGAGAAAAATCACGCTATTTACTTTTTTTCCCCTCCCTCATACAATGACGCAAAAATTGTCATTTTACGTCATTGTAGACTAGATTTCATTGTAGATTTCTGGAAAGACTACAAGCACTAGTTCCCACCTTTACCAACCCGTCTATAGGGGGTTGGACCAGGACCTAATGCACTAACAGACCAATCACAGATCAGTGCCAGTGAAAACTTGAATTTTTTCTCACAAAGTAATTTTATTTTGGGGGGACAATCGTATACGACTATACGTATTGTCCAACCCGATCTCACGATTTTACGAATTTTACGAGGTGGCTAATTTGTAACAATTTGTACGACCTCACTCGTACAAATTAGTATGTTTTTTGCTAAATCGTACATATTTTACGAATTGGCCAATTCGTATGAATTCGTACGAATGACCTACCCCTGACCCCGCCCCTAAACCTACCCATCACATGGGTTTGGACAAATTGTACAAATTCGTACGAGTGAGGTCGTATGAATTAGTACGAATTAGCCACTTTTTAATCACTCGTACGAATTCGTACGAATTGGTCGTGAGATAGCATAGGTATTGTCACTATCCACGATCGTATTGTCACTACCCACGATATGTATTGACACATATTGTCACTACACACATGTTTTGTTTACTTAGGCTTGTAGTCTTTTAGTTTTGTGATATTGAAAATGGTGAGCAGAATTATGAAATTCATCATTGAAATCATAAAAACTATCAAAAATAACTCTATCGTGAAATAGCCTATATAGTTTTCGCGAAATGAAATTACTCGTATCGTAATACAAGATTTGTCATATCACCCACTCTACATGTGGCAGTAGTCTGTATTCATCATTCAAAAAGCAAGAAGCCTAAAGAACAAACAAGGCAAAACAAAGCCACGCTTGCGTTACCATTTTGCCCTCCGTGTCATTTGCATGCTTACATCACTTTGTTTTTTCGTCTCCTGCATTGGCTCACTAAGCTGAACAGTCAATCATAATGATCTTTAACAGACGTTTTTGCCAAAAGGCAGCCGGACAGGAAAACGCCGGAAACACTAGGCCGACAGAAACTCGATGAGACACGAAAAGGTGTGGTATTACTTCTCCAATTGTGTTTGAAAAGTAATAAACCAGGTACAGTAAAGAGTAAGACAGCCTCAAGTCTTTATGGTGAATCGTGTCAATGGACGACGTGCTCAGTAGACATGGGTAACAATGTTTGGAGAAACTAAGAATCAAGTCATTTCTACTCTTTATATCCTGTCAAATGCACTGAAGCACACAACTTTTTATTTTTATTTTTGTGTCATCTGACAAACTCACTGTGGGAGTCTGAAACTTAAGCTTTTCTTTCATGTCCTATATTTCCCTTCTGAGAGCAAGAGCAAAAACTACATCACAGCCAACACTGAACCTTTTGTCTTTTTAGAGCAAATGCCTTCAAATATCAGAAATATCATGCTACCTGGTAAACAGGTTCTCCTGAGGGATTCGGTCTTTCTGCTTTTCCTGGCATATTTTATGCAACAAAGAAAATCCCAAAGTGATTTGAAACTCCCATTTTACCATCCCCCAGTGTCTCGTCAGTAAACCAAACCAAGACGATAGTTATAGTCGGGCAAGATAACATTCACGCCAATAATAGACAAAGCTGGCACTGATATACAAAAAAAAGGTTTCAACAGTGAGCTGGGACTTATAAACGTTAAGCCGATTCCTTAAAGCCATTAGATCCAATTTCACCATAGCTAAACATAAACACTATCCATTTAAAGCAAGCCCAATAATCCAATATTGTAATGGAGCAGAGATGAAGCATCACAGTGTTTGAGATGACAATCCAGACTACATGAACTGATAAAGGAACTGATAAACTTCGCCGTTGCATATGTGTGCTCAGCAAAACCGTTTTGTGTTTGAGCGCCCCCAAGTTGTGTTTTACTGTAACTTCAGAAGCTTCAAACACATGAGCAAAAGCGCCAATCTCGTTGGTTGGTATTATTTTTTGACGCGGCACGTCAAACAAAAAAAAAGAAACTGCGAAGCGTTTTTTTTTTTTTTAATTTACGCTTTTTTTCGTCGGTGTGTACACTAACGGTGCAGATCCACTTGCCCGTGCAGCATTTCTGTCGCGCCGCACTCCGCTTTATTCCTATCGGTGACGTCACGCGACTTTAAGGCGCACGCAAAGCATCCCGGGAAGGCGGCGCTTCATTTGGAAAAATGCTGCGCGTCAAAAAGCTGGCCGATGCCAGAGTCCGTCTAACGGAGAGCCTTGGCACTTCCTATTTATCCCCATTGTGTATCATATTGGTTGCAGTTCCATTAGAATTCCACTGGAGGTGATCACGAGCGAGTGCAGAATGAATGGGAGTCTATGGGGCTAAACGGCTAAATGTGTCTTTCACCTGCTTGTCGTTAAATCAACATAGATTTTATTGTTGATTCCGCAAGTTCAATATAGATTATAGGCCAAAAGTCGAATGAACGAGTACTTATGTCCTTTTGATTTCTTACAGGTTAGGCTGTTGTTGGCCGGAACACGCTAGCATTCTGCTATTGTGTGACGTCATCACATTTTTGAACGGATTTTTAGAACAGATAAGTGAACTTAAAAATGCAATTTTCAGCTGAGTGTATTTTCTTAGCCCTCCCTTTTGAATGCAACTTTCAAATTACATCCTGAGAAAAGTGGATTTCTGGGGGTGAAAAAACCCCATTGACTCCCATTCATTCTGCACTCGACCGCGAGCGCCCCCGCATGGACAGAGACGCATTACTGCAGCCAGTCCAAAACCCGTAAGTAACCAGCCAGTGCCAATTCTTTTCAATTAGACATTCTCTGGTGTACACTCACATTGGCGCCTTTTGTTTAGCTACGAGGCGTTAAACGTCGGCGAATAACATGTGCGAAATTCGTCCCGGTGTGAACAGGCCTTGACACCCTTATCTGATACATTTACGATATATCAATCTCTTTTTGTTGACAAGTAGGCCTAGTTATTAAGGTCTGGTTTTGTTTCAGGTTCTAGATTTTACTATCTTTACAATCTTACAATCACAGATAGCTGATGCTTTTGATATTCTCTCTGGCTATCGTTGATACACAATATCATTATCTATCGGCACAACCTAATCTTTGCTCCAGCACATGAATTCGGCTGATCTTGTGGTGTATGACAAGAAAAAGCTTGAGCAACACGATGCTAGAACACTCTCCCTCCGCACAGACTCCACGGCCGTAGGCTCTCAGTGGTACATGAGTCAGCTTATGCCCAGCCTGAATAGCAGTCATGCTGCTAGGCAATCACAGACAAAACGGCCTGTCCTGTTTTAGCATGCTGCAGCCAACAGGACCACTAGCCTGAATTTTATTTTCGGCTCGAAAGCTGTTTCAGGGCCACGTTTCCACATACGGAGAAAATAGCATTTTGTTAATGCATCCCTGACCATTACATCTGAACTATTTCCTGACAAACATGGCAAATGGGAGGACAGCTGTGGAGAGATATGATCCAGACAAAATGAGTTGGATGTTGATGAGATGAGACTAAGTGTTAATTCTCTAACTAGGTTGCTGTTAAAATGCATGCACATTAGGGCAGTGCTGCCAGGCTCTCTGAGATGAGTTCATTGTATTGTTACAAAATAACAAATGCATATGTCAGTCAAATTAGATACAATAAGATGCATATTCTTTCTGGTATAGTGACTGGTGGGCCTGAAAATGGGTCACAGCAGGTCTACCATCACAGGGACTGCAGGGAAAAACAACCCCAAAGTATAAATAATAAAATGCTCTATATATGCACATTATTAAGATAAAAAAGGCATAACATTTAAGCAGGTTTGTTTACTAGATTGTATATCAAACTCAGCAGTATTTAGGCACAAATGCATCTGTCAGTTGGTTGAAGCGAGTCAAATTAGGCAGATACCAACATGGACAGGTGGTGTGACTTATCTTCAACAACAATGAACAAATCTACAGGTATAAAAAAGTGAAAAAATATTTAAACAAGGAAAAACAGGTTCACTTGCAGAATAAACATGCTTTGTGCTGCTGAGCGGACCATAATTTGTTTTGTGCTATTAAATTTTACTATCATGCACTGCGATGAAAAAGTATTTGCGAGACGAGTCGACAGATCTTTTCTTCTTTATTGTGACAACCGTCTTGAGTGTTACGGATTATCGAAAGAGAAAGTAGCGTAGGGACTTGGTTCTATTCATCTGTGACTGAATTTTTGAGATAAGGCTGTAAATCGTACTAAATGAACGGAAAAGTCTGGCATGATACGCTTACGCCACCACAATGTAGACTGACGTTTTCACCAGAAGATCGAGGTATGCCATGGATTAAAAATTACGAGATCAAATTTAAAACAGATAAACATACACATGGACAAATAATTCAAAATAAAATCAATAACATGTATTAACTTAATGGCAACTAATTTTAAATACTAAATTGTGTCTACTCAGTTCATGGTTCATACATTGTAAAGACAGTAAAATCAAGAACCTGACTCAAAACCATAAGCCTACTCGTTGTCAACAAAAAGAAATTTCAATGAGCACAAGTATTTATCCTCAGGCCTGTCAATATAACAGGTATACTGAAAAATACTATGAATAAAAAGCATGCATGTCATTGACAAATAAAACTTCAAAATTTGTTATAATGCGTTAGAATAGAAAAGGTTTTAAACATAAAATTATGCCATAGTATTTGGCATAGTATGCCACAGACAGCATTTTAAATAGTTTTCTTAGTCTGTTCGAACAGTTGCACCACCTGACATTCGGTCATGAATTTATCAAATAATATGATGCACTTGGACACAAAAATATGCACGTCATGTCAATGACCCAAGGGCTAAATGAAAGCTTGCCATTTCACTAAACCTAATATTTAACGTCATCATATACAAGCCCTAAATGGAAAAAAGGAAAATATTCAGACACATGTGACCTAGGGGGATTCATACAAAATTCATACAAATCATCCTGACAGTTACACGCCACATAACAGTTATATATGAATTGCGAGGTTAAATTAATGTCTTACTTTTGACTGGCAGTGTGTCAACACATTCCATCTGTTCATGCATCACACTGACCTCATTCACATCCCTGACCTCTTCTTAGGTGATATATACGGAGTTCTATGGCAATTTATGAGTACTACAAACCCATAGATAGATTATTAAGTGTAGTTTCAATGTGTGCACCACCACGTTATCAAGTCAGGTCAGGCACTCGCTCCATCACAGCAAGCTAGTTAACGCGAGTCCACCAATAGCAGCTAGCTACATCCAAGCAAAAGATACACCACACACGCATAAAACAAATGTATTTACAGTTACAAACGCTCGTCACACTTAAGTCGGCCTGATTCAGCGCGAGGCCAGACCTCTGCTGCAGATGTGTCGCGAGCGCGCGCGCCAAACTCCCGGCGAACTGTCTCTTCGAGACAACACTATCGCACAAACACGCGCGTTCATGTCGCTCGTTTATAAAAACACGAAAGCACGTGTTCGTGGTCGCTAAGAGAAATAGGGTGGATGAATTCTCGCTGCGTGCTTACCTCCTCTTCTTCTTCTTCTTCTCCTCGCTTTCGCCAGTTCACTCCCATGCATACATACACGCGCAGGCACGCCAGCAAACAGATCCCCTGGACCGCGGAAGTGTCGGCGTTTATCGCTCCCACATTAAACACCGGGATGATGGTTAAAGCAGATTGTTCTATCATTTAAGAGGCTTGGCAGTAAAGTCTAGATCGTGGCATGACTGCAGGGGCGGAGGTTGGTGGTGGGACAGTTATTCCTCTCTCTCTCTTTCGCTCGCTCTCGAGCGCGCGCGCTGGGCAGGGATGACGTAATGGCGCACTCGTCAGGTCAAGTTGTAACTCTTTCTGATGCAGCCTGAAAGTTGCAGGCCCCTACGGAGCCCCTCTAGTCCCACTTTGGTAAAAAAAATTAATTATAACTATCTTGTGGCCTCAAGATAGTAACTCGTGGCCTCAAGATAGTAACTCGTGGCCTCAAGATACTAACTCGTGGCCACAAGATAGTAACTCGTGGCCACAAGATAGTAACTCGTGGCCTCAAGATACTAACTCGTGGCCACAAGATAGTAACTCGTGGCCTCAAGATACTAACTCGTGGCCTCAAGATAGTAACTCGTGGCCTCAAGATATTAACTCGTGGCCTCAAGATACTAACTCGTGGCCTCAAGATAGTAACTCGTGGCCTCAAGATATTAACTCGTGGCCACAAGATAGTAACTCGTGGCCACAAGATAGTCCACGAGTTACTATCTTGAGGCCACGAGTTAGTATCTTGAGGCCACGAGTTACTATCTTGTGGCCACGAGTTACTATCTTGAGGCCACGAGTTAGTATCTTGAGGCCACGAGTTACTATCTTGTGGCCACGAGTTAGTATCTTGAGGCCACGAGTTACTATCTTGAGGCCACGAGTTACTATCTTGTGGCCACGAGTTAGTATCTTGAGGCCACGAGTTACTATCTTGTGGCCACGAGTTACTATCTTGAGGCCACGAGTTAGTATCTTGAGGCCACGAGTTACTATCTTGAGGCCACGAGTTAGTATCTTGAGGCCACGAGTTACTATCTTGAGGCCACGAGTTACTATCTTGAGGCCACGAGTTACTATCTTGAGGCCACGAGTTACTATCTTGAGGCCACAAGATAGTTATAATTATTTTTTTTTACCAAAGTGGGACTAGAGGGGCTCCGTACAGGCCAGGGAGACATTCATTATTGATATCATGTAATGTAAGGTGTAGCTATAACTTTTAAACATAACATTTAGGACACTACGAATCTGTCTCTTTTTTTTCAATGCTTGTTTTAAACGTATCGTCTCTGCAAATTTTATATTTAAGTTCACCAACAAGTTTCAACAAACCATTATTCTAAAAGAATTTAAACAGTATTTCAACACCATTTCATCTTCAGTAAATAAGAAAGCAAGAAAAAAGGTACTCTGTTCAGACAAGTGTGTTTATTTGAAATCTTTACAACTTTCATTTGCAATGAAACTGCAAGGAGCTTTCACTTAGTTCCTACACTGATACTGATACTGTACACCAGGAAAAGGTTGACAACTGTCATCTAATGTTTATTACTGCTGGATTGATGAGAACGTTAGATGTCATCTAAAGAAGATGGATGGAAATGAACTATTTGCTACACCCTTACAGTATGTGTATATATCTCTTGTAATTGCATGGATTGTGCAACACAGGGATATGTCTGTTATTTGTTTTGGCTTGATGTAAAGTCGTAAGATCATATGAGTAAGAATCAGTTTTGAGATAAGGAAGCCCCCCACTGGTCTTGGTATTTCATCATGGATGAGCTAATAGTTGAGGGTCCATCCATCCGTCCCCCACCCTAATTGTCTCATCAGAAGAACAGTTCTGACTAAATCCCAGTGGAAACTGAGAAAGAAATGAAGACATGCAATGGGAACAGAGAAATCCTGAGCCTCCGTCAGAAACGATTGCAGAAAAAAAAGTCTAAAAATGCCTTATTTAGAATGAAAAATATCATTAAATTTAAACTAGGCTACCTAATAATTTTTATTTTGGAAACATTTTTATATCGATAGCGTCAGAGATACTTATTGTCCTTAATAAGTTAATACTTAATACTTATTATACTTATTACCGTCGGTGTATGAATGGGTGAATGTGAGGCATTAAAGCGCTTTGGTGGCCATTAGGTCTATGAAGGCGCTATAAATGCAGTCCATTTACCGTTTTACCATTTGTCGTCTGGGTTTCCTTTGAGTCCATAACATCCCAGTTTGTGATGCAGACATTGACTTCAACAAGCAATGACCTCGACTGAAAAGCATGGATTTACTCTTTAAAAGAGGGAACGCCGCTATACCGCCAGATGACCTTTCTACGCTCGTTGACCGTTTGATAATGAACCCGCACTGTTGAATTGGATTTGTAAGTGTCTCTCTGTGCTGATAAGGGACACTGAGGAGGTTAACCACCATCCCCAATCATGTGGTTTTCCTCTGGTGGTTATAGACTGAGCTCTTCAAAGTACTCTTGAATCATAACTGAAACCATGAAAACTAAGAGAAATGTCCATGTACCCAGAAAAGTTGGGAGATTTCGTAAAATGCGATAAAATCAAAAATCTGTGTTTTGTTAAATTTCTGTAACTTTTATTTAACTGACAAACGTAAAGGCAAAATAAATGTGAAAAGACTCTACGATATCGTAGTTAAACTGTTGAAACAGTTCCCAATTAATAGCAGGTGAGCTGATAATAGGTCAGGGGATTGTGTTTGGGCATAAAAGGTACAGTAAAAGTTGGTACAGTATATCTCACAAAGAAGATGAGATGAGAACTGACTGGAAATTTACAGAAAATCCCTCAATTCCCACCACACTAATAAGACGTTTGATGGAATGTTTTAAAGGGTAATTATTCTGTATTATTATTGCCATTTTCATCAGGACATTGGTCTTTTAATTATAAATACAAGACTGCATTTCTCTTAGAAGAAAAGGTTGAAAGGTTCTATCAGTGCTACGTATTTGGAACCCCTAAAAGGTTCTGTGCACTCTTAAAAAAGGGTTCTTCTATATAGAACCCCGGGGTTCCATACTTGGCCAATAGAACCTTTTACCAAAAAAATGGTTCTATATAGATTCTATATAATTTTGGAGTTCCATATATGAAGCGGGGGATGGGACCGTTTCTGTTCTAAATAGAACCATTTCTTCTAAGAGTGTGATTATATGAATAAAAGCAAACAAAATGAATATACTATATAAACTAGCTATATTTATTCTGGGATCTATACAAGTATACAAATTCATTTCATTTGAATAATTGACTAACGGCTCCAAACTGGCAAATTGAACACATTGCCAAATAGCAGACCTTCAACTAAAACTCCAGAAAGAAACAGCTGAGCTCATTTTAACAAGCAGATGGCAGTATGACGTTGAGCTGGTGTGGAAGGAAGATAAAGCCGGTGCACACTTCACTCTAGAGACGGGCTTAAGCAGACTAGAGAAACATGATCACAGAAAAGCCATGCATTAAAGGAGTAGTTCACTTTAAAATAAAAAATAAAAAAACTTTTGCTGATAATTCACTCACCCCCATGTCATCCAAGATGTCCATATCATTCTTTCTTCAGTCGAAAAGAAATTAAGGTTTTTGATGAAAACATTCCAGCATTTTTGGTCCAAAAGGTCCAAAAGACAGTTTCAGTGCAAACTGCAAACTGTTCAAAGGGCTGTTCTAACTCGTTTATCAAAATGAACTAATATTTTCTGTGTCATTTGGTTCATTCAACGAACGAAATTAACGAGTTGACACGAAACGAGCGGTTTGTGTGAGAAAAAGAACAGTATTTATATTGTTTTTACCTTGTAACCACAGCCACGGGCGCTTTGTGTATGTGGTTACAAGAGGTAAAAACGATATAAATACTGTTCGTTTTCTCACACAAACCGCTCGTTTCGTGTCTTAGGCCATCAATGTGTACTTACATTTATGAGTCATTAAATCATGTTTATTTTGGACTTCTCTGTGCATGCTCTTTGAGGTGGACCCCATAGACCTCCATTATATGACTGACAGACACGAACGGTTTGACCTAAAAATATCAAAATCGAAAATACTCCGGAAACAAAGACACCTATATCTTGGATGCCCTTGAGGTAAGCTAAAACATGTCAAAAGTTCATTTCAAAGTGAACAATCCCTTTAAATAGTTTGTAAACATAATTTATCAATAGACATACAAATTTAAATAACCTGTTAAACATGACCTGGTAAATGAGTATTATGCAACCATTTAAGACATTTCTCCTCTTTAAAATTGAGTCAAGGGTTTTATTTAGACCTCCACTGAACCTTTACTTCCAGAAGTGTATCTATAGGAAAAGCAATGAGTAAATAAATGAACAAAAAACAATAAAATCACACAGAATGATTGAAACGGACACTGTTGCTGCATGGTTGTACTTCATTTGATTTATTTCATGATTTTATTTATTGGCGATCACTGTTTTATAAAGCCCTTTTTGTCACAGCTGCTCTTCATGTTGCACCCCTCACAACCCATAGCTTTAAAAATATAAAACGGATTTAAAATAGACGTATATGACAACTATTGAAATTATGTTTAAACCATAAATGTTTGAAACTTGGCAGGGACAATCACAAAAGGATTTTGTCCCAGCAAAGGCTGTAAAAAGAGAAAAAGTTACGCAGAGGCTTTGAAATCTCATTTCGGCACAACATATATAAATCACTGAAATCATTCAGGATAAAAAAACAAACAAACAAACATAAAATGTCTAATTACACAATGATTGTTCCCACAATGAGTGCTTCACAGTCAAAGTAAACTCAAACAGTACAGTAAATCTTCCAGTGGAACCCAGTTATTAATATGATTTGTTTTTTTCTCTAAAGCCATTGAATGCTATATGTCAGTTCATGTGATTAACACTTGTTTGCTCCATCTGAATATTTGACATACTTTCTGTAGTACAGACAAATGTGCGCAATGTAATAACAATAATGACAAATAGTGTTTCCTAGTGTTGAAAATGACACTTAATTAAAAAACAATTCACGTGGCTTGCACGTTCAGGCACTTCCACATCCACGCGTCACTTCCTTACCCAATCGACATTGCTAAGATCTTTGGTTCCTGCGATTGGTGGCACATTTCTTAAACACACAGATTAATTGTGCAGATTAAGGTATTGCACTTTGGTTAGTCAGAGGCAGGGGCGGTTCTAGGCCCTTTTTAGGGAGGCGTCGGCCAACCCATCAATCTGAACGATCGGGTCCGAGGTGCTTCCTTGTCAGTTTAAACATTCAAGTGATTTTAAGCCATTCATTCGCAGGTGCGGTGATCGTTTCTGTACCAAATTGGGTAATCTTTTGCATCTTCTTGAGCAAACACACACAAAATTAAGCCAAAATGCCCGTTTTGACGAGTATCCACATAAACATAGTCTTAAGTAAACGCAATAAGTTAAACTGGACCTCATATGCAAAGTTGAATAGGAGTCGTGCAACTGTCTGCTGAACGTGAGACTAACAGTCTCTATGTCAAAGCCATATCTGTTATAAATACTGGAATGAGTTAAACTGAACATTACGTGCAACGTTGAATATGAGTCGCGAAACTGTCTGCGGGATGTCTTGTGCATGGTATGGTGTGTTATTTATTAGTTATTCGATGTTTTATTTAATTGCATTTCACATTACTTGTACAAAGACAATAAAGACATTCATTCATTCAAAATATCGGATGCGTCAATATAAGGTGACACTTTGATAATCTGTTTTTCTTTTGTTGTTCGATTAACATTATTAAAACGGAAGGTCTCGACTAAATCACTTCTGTATATTTCCTTCACACAGTTTTCACAAGTAGGCATAGTGTAAAGTGTTTCATTTGTATCTTTGTCCTTTTGTTTATTCTGTCTAATTTTATTATTGGCTGTTTACTTACTAGTATTATTTTTTGCTGCGATCGTAAATTGGAATCGAGGATTGTGAAATTTCACTGGTATCATACGTTTACTTAAGTCACGTTATACGTTTTATACGTTTTGACTAACCATTTACAGTGTACTGATTTGAACTGTACAGCAAAAAGACAGGCATCATGACATCATTGAAAACATTTTGACTACCAATTTAAGCTTCTTCTGACTTACTATATAATGCAGCATTTAGGCTACAGATTCTCACCGAGGGCTTTAACCCCCCAGAGGAGGAAATCCTAGAACCGCCCCTGGTCAGAGGTAAACATTAGACAGTTGTGGTCCTTCAGGCTCAGCTTCGAGCTGAGAGAAAAGGGTGTAAGGCACAGTTTAGGGGTTCCCTTCATTTGCACTTATGAGGCACTTATGTAGCAAAAGTTACTACGTCTCACTATCTCACTAGAATAAAATATCCCCCCAGCCCCCACCAAATCCATTCAGGTCTTGTAGCCTTTGGGGAATTGATCATAATTTATAAATACCCACACTTCCACATTCACACAGTTGCAAACACACATAAACACACACAATGGTAATTGCACTTCGGTGGTCAGTATTCTCCTCTTCTACCTTTGATTTGTTCACATTTCCTGTCAGGAGCTACTCCACTGTCACAGATTTGGCCAGGTTCCTTGGGCAGTCCACCTGATGGGAACCAAACAAATAATATTATGTAATAAAAATACATAATCGCCTTGCTTTTGGCTTGCTATGAGCTTGCTCAGTTGGGGTTATTTAGTGTTTAGCAATGTTGTTGATCTGTGTTGTGCTACTTTCATGTTATCAGTGTGAAGCTGCTTTGATACAATCTGTATTGTGAAAAGCGCTATATAAATAAATGTGAAAAAAAAAAAAAAAAATACACACAAATTATTTATCCATTTTCCTTCAATGGTTAAGTGTAAATAGTACTGCGAAGTGACTAAATTATTAAAATAAATAATAATATTGACACTAAAAAGAAAATATTTATATATATAACATACCTTTTAAATCTAATGATTATATATATATATATATATATATATATATATATATATTAGGGCTGTGCAAAAATTAATTGTGATTAATCGCATCCAAAATAAAAGTCTGTGTTTACATAATATATTTGTGTGTGCTGTATATAATTATTTTGTATATATAAATACAAACACATGCATGTATATATTTAAGAAAATGTGTTATTCATATATAAAATATTTATATTTATATAATATAGATTATGTATTTAAATATGTATACAGAATTTAAGCGCAAATAATTCTTAAATATATACATGCATGCATAGGTATTTATATATACAAAATAATTATATACAGCACACACAAATATATTATGTAAACACAGACTTTTATTTTGGATGCGATTAATCGCAATTAATTTTTGCACAGTCCTAATATATATACAGTATATATAATCATTACATTTAAAAGGTATGTCAGCTCTGTATAGACCCTTTTTACATTCACAGGAAGCAGAAGCAGAAGTCGTCATAGTTGGGTCTATATGTCTATAGTGGTGAAAGGGAGATGACAGCAATTATAATTTTGTATTTGCATTTTTTCCAATAACAAAATAAGAAATCTGTCATAGCGTTTCCACAACTTTCCGAAAGAGGGGAAAATGTCGTGAGATTGATTATAGCAGTCAGAAGAGAGAAAGAATTCGCCATCACTCCCTCAGCCGTATTAGAAACACCATCGCAGCAGCATTGATTCATTAGTTGTAATTTAATGCCACAGCCATATAACACACAGAATAGCGTTATGAATGTGTATTAAATTTAGTAAAAATACAAATATTTTGAAAACGTGCATGTGCGTTTCACGTCATCCAGTGGCCTTTTGACAGCTCCAGCTGTTCGTGAAAACTACAGATTTTACTTGCGCATTTGCGTTCATGACTCTCCTGTTCAAACTCCTTCATGAAAATGAAAGAATCTTTTTTCGAGTCATTTGGTTCAATGAACGAATGACTCGGAAAAAAAGATTCGTTCATTTTGATCAGGAGAGTCACAAACGCGCATCACAGAACAGAGCAAGGCGAGCATTTGTGCTAATAAAACTTAAACTTTTTAATTTATTTTTGAAAAGACCGATCGTTTCACTTGATAAGACCCTTATTCATCATCTGAAATCGTTTAAAGCCCTTCGAAGCTGCACTAAAACTCTCATTTGGACTTTGAACCGTTTGGACCCCATCGAAGTCCATTACATCAAAAATCTTAAATTCTTTTCGACTGAAGAAAAAAAGACATGGACATTTTGGATGCCATGGGGGTGAGTAAATTATCAGCAAAAGTTTTTTTAAAAGTGAACTACTTCTTTAAGAGTGTAACATGTCACATCACATTGAAATTTAGCACACTCTTTTATCAAAAGCGACTAAGAACCGAGGAAACCAGTAAGCAAGATACTTTTTTCCAAAATGGAGACAGTTAGTGGGATGCAGCCTTTTTTTGATAAAACATTTAATAAATGAATTATGTAAACGTACATCATATCCTCTGAGAACTGCCAGATGGAAAGACATGAGCTGCAGTGGAATGACACTGAGGATGCCCTGCAGACAGTCCACCGTTTGAGGAAGTTCAATCGTCTTATATGCCATTTTACTGATCTCTGGGTCGTCCTGGCAGCATATGAGGATGGGGCGGCCCTAAAGATATTCACAAGATATTAGTCAAGTGTCGGATGATTGGTGATATTTCAGAAACTGTAGATGCACACTAGCGTTCAAAATTTTGGGGTCAGTGAGATTTTCTTTTAATTCATATTTTTATTCAGCAAGGATTTAATCAAAAGTATGCAAATAAAAGCTGTTATTTTGAACTTTCTGTTTATCAAATGATGTTGAAAAAAAGTATAAGGTTTTCTACAAAAATATTAAGCAGAATATTAAAATTATTAACTGCTCATAACATTGATAATAGGATCATGTGACACCGAAGACTGGAGTAATGAATATGTAAATTCAGCTTTGCCATGAAAGGAATAAATAAATATTTGAAAATATATTCCAATTGAAAAAGGTTATTTTAATTTGTAATACAATTTCACAATATTACTGTTTTTATTGTATTTTTGATCAAATAAATGCAGACTTGGTAAACATAAGAGACATCTTAAAAAAAAAGAAAAGAAAAATCCTATCGCCCCCAAACTTTTAAACAGTAGCATATATTACTGATGAACTGTTTAACACATTATCTCTATGATTTCACATTATCCAGAGTCTGATGACTGTTACCTGTCTAGCCGTGACTTGCTGCAAGGCATTGTGGCACTTTTGGTAGCAGGCATCTTTCATGATGATCATGATGACTGGCATATGCTTGTCGATCAACGCCAAAGGTCCGTGCTTCAATTCTCCAGCCATAATGCCCTCTGAGTGCATGTACGTGATCTCTTTAATTTTCTACAGTGAACAAAGACCAAAAAAAGTGTGCTTTACGTCACCACTCTTCTGATTATATGCTTGGTTATAATCCTTTTCTCTGTCTATATATTGCATGATCCTCACCAGCGCCCCCTCTAGGCAGGTGGCATAGTTATAACCTCGACCCATGACCAAAAGAGACTTCTGATGGGTGAGCTCATCTGCAAGGCTTTTGATGATGTTATCAAGAGCAAGAACTTCCTTGATCAACTCTAAATGGAAGACAATGTCAAAGTTAATATTATCTCAAAGCACTAATGAACTACTGCAATACACCGGCAAATATTACGACAATCCTTACACTAACTCCACCCATCACAGAAGTCCACACCAGGATAGAAAAACATGAACACACACACACCTGGTAATTTTTTGAGGCCATTGATGATCTCCAGTCTTCTCGGCTGCATTGAGAGCCTGTCTTCACTCATCATCAGACCAAACATGACCAGAGACACAAACTGACTGGTGTAAGCCTGAAGATGATTAAAACACAAACTCGATTCAACAAAAACACACAATGGACAGGGGAGACAAAAACAACAATATTGAACCAGCGTTCAAAAATGTGGGCTAAGTACAATTGTTTTGAAAGAAATTAATATATTACATTTATTCAGAAAGTCTGCTTTTAAGACTTTAAAATTGGTACAAATGATTTATATTTCAAATAAATGCTGTTCTTTTGAACTTTCTATTCTTAAAAAAAAGATAATATAAATGATAATAATAACAAATGATTTTTGAGCAGCAAATCAGAATATCAGAATTAACACTTAGAATTAATTAAAAAATATATTAAAATAGGAAACACATTTTAAATTGTACTAATAGCTCACAATATTACAGTTTTTTTTATCAAATAAATGCAGCCTTTTTTTTTATCAAATAAATGCAGCCTTGGTGAGTATGAGAATCTTACCAACCCTAAACTTTGGACTACACTCACCTAAAGGATTATTATTATAACACCATACTAATACTGTGTTTGACCCCCTTTCTCCTTCAGAACTGCCTTAATTGAACGTGCCATTGATTCAACAAGGCGCTGAAAGCATTCTTTAGAAATGTTGGCCCATATTGATAGGATAGCATCTTGCAGCTGATGGAGATTTGTGGGATGCAAATACAGGGCACGAAGCTCCCGTTCCACCACATCCCAAAGATGCTCTATTGGGTTGAGATCTGGTGACTGTGGGGGCCATTTTAGTACAGTCAACTCATTGTCATGTTCAAGAAACCAATTTGAAATGATTCAAGCTTTGTGACATGGTGCATTATCCTACTGGAAGTAGCCATCAGAGGATGGGTACATGGTGGCCATAAAGGGATGGACATGGTCAGAAACAATGCTCAGGTAGGCTGTGGCATTTAAACGATGCCCAATTGGCACTAAGGGTCCTAAAGAGTGCCAATAAAACATCCTGAACACCATTACACCACCACCACCAGCCTGCACAGTGGTAACAAGGCATGATGGATCCATGTTCTCATTCTGTTTACGTCAAATTCTGGCTCTGAAAATGAAATGAATGTTTATTTATTATTAGTCTAAGATGTTAATTCAGTACCTTAGTGCTGGCGACTCCGACCTCAGGGCCAGCATTGATGTGAACTCCACAGTCGGTCTCTCTGCAGATGGAGCTGCCCACGGTGTTGGTGACGCCCACAGTCAGTGCCCCGCGCTTCTTACAGTAGCGTAGCGCCATCAGAGTGTCCGCTGTTTCACCTAACCAAAATCACATCATCGATATGTGTCAGTGTCATCAACATGAAACCTACAGCATTAACAGTATTATAGTATAATATAATATATAACAGTAACATTGATAGTATTTTACTTTGCTCAATACACTCAATGAGTTTTAGTAATGTGCCACAGCTAGAACAATATTTTACTGCACCAAAAGTGCTCTTTTAGAAGAGAATCGACTCGAGCTCTCAGAAATGTTTGCACTCATATTAAAATATCTGACTTTTGATCACAGACTCTGACATCCTGACAAATCAGGGCAATGTTTGAGACATCATGAGACCTCTTATGAAATTCATGGTCTCTTTTTTCTTGAGAGAAAAGGAGTCTTTCCATTTAATCTCATTAGCATCTGGTAGAAACAACTGAGATATCTTTGTTTTTTCTGTGCTGTGGGCATCTGGGTTTCTGGAGATTATATCACCTCATGCACTTACTGTTGTGTAATTCAGTGCCATATCAGTTCAAAGGTAATTACTATCAACCCTTTCTGGAATATAAATCATGAGATTGACGGTAAAGAGCTGCACTTTACCCGACTGGCTGATGAAAAAACAGACATCGTCTCTGAAAACTGGCGTGATGCGGTCTAAGAAATCGCTGGCCAACTCGACCATAACAGGAAGTTCAGTCAGCTCTTCAAGGATCTGACGTGTCTGCAGAGAAAATCAGAGATAATGCTGTGATGTGATCATGTGCTCATGTAAGAAAAAATGGACAGCCAAGCTGGTCATTGACATAAAGCTCTTAGAGAAGTCCTTCAATTTGAAATCAGACAGCGGTCAAATATAGAGTTTAACGATCAATGTACAGTACAATTTATTTCTGTTTATTTCTGTCTGATTCACTTTTTTTAATTTATTTCAATTTATTTCTACAGTACAAAGTTTTATGGCTGTCAATTGATTGAAACTAGGGCTAGGCAACGATTAATCGTATCCAAAATAAAAGTTTGTGTTTCGTATATATAATTTTGTATATATAAATACACACATGCATGTTTATATTTAATAAATATTTGCATACTGTATATTATTTATACATAATTTATATAAAATATTATTATTAATATTTTATATATTAAGAATATATTTTTCTTAAATATATACATGCATGTGTGTGAATTTTTATATACAAAATAATTATACACAGTACACACACATATATTATGTAAACACAAACTTTTATTTTGGATGTGATTAATCGCAATTAATCGTTGCCCAGCCATAAAAATAATCATTTTGCAGCATTTTGAACCGAAACTAAACTTATAAAAGAATTTTAAAAAATTGAGTGTTCATAAAATAAAAATACAAAAACTCACTGCTACTCCCGCATGGTAACTGGTTCCACAGCCAATAATGATCAAGCGTCTGCATCTCTTGATCTCCTTTAGATGATCGGACAGTCCACCAAGAAGAACTGTGCACAAAAATAGACATGCTAACTGATCCAAAACACAAAGCAAATCAGGCTCAAATTCTCTGGTTATAAGATTCTTTGCAACCAAACACACCTGGCTACTAGCCTGGCTAACACCAGACCACATATCATTGAGAATGAAACCTGGTCTGGAAACCACATGTTAATATTCTTGTATTTGAGGCACGGGTTACGAATGCCCAGAGCCGTATTATTGGGTCCTACGAATGCCTATCAAATGCGCCTGTACGTCTATCAAATGCGCCTGTGCTCCCTCCCCGTTCTGTGATTGGTTCCCTATTTCAGGGGATAATTTGGTTCATGGTATCCAGACTGCCTAGCAGCACGAATTAAATGGCGCTGCCGTCAAGGGAGAATGGGGAAACCCAGGCTACATGGCTGCATTATTTGTTAAATAACTATTAGTTAAAGATGAAATATATAATTTCCCATTTGTAGGCTGATTTCCAGGAAATGTGTAACCATTAAATCAATGTTGTTTGATGTAGTTTCCATTTGATGGAACAGTTTCCATTTGTTAATGGTGCAAAAATGACACATTTCACCTTTGAGATTAGCTGTAATTCTACGATATCAAATCAGGCAGCACTTTCAGGGATGTGCAACAAGAAGAAGCCTAATTTAATTTGACATGGATATTCTGGCAAAGTGGAAGGTCATGTCGTACCTATGTTGCTGTCAAAGCAGATTCTGCCTCTCATGGTGTTAAAGACAGATTCAGGCTGCTCAAAGATCTCCTTCTGCATGAAAGCCTCGAAGTTACCTAAAAATATGAAACGGAGTTAGCGCAAAACCAAAACCAAAGTGTGGCGTGACATTCAAGTCATTGTTATCAAACTAAAGGCCTTGCAGGCAAAGATCTAAAGAAATAATGCCCATTATCCTTTGCTATGTTATTTGGTACATAGTGACCAAAATTCATTTTTAGATGAACAAAAAACAATCTGCCAAAAATGTTCTGAAATGTAGAGCATGGCGCCAGCAACAGCAAAGTCGTGGGTTCGATTAGAGGGTAATGCAAGGACTGAAGAAACATAAGTCACTTTGGATGAAAACGAATGCCAAATGCAAAAATGTATTAGATTTAGATACTAGTTAAAGGAGCCGTATGCAAGATTGTGGCCAAAACTGGTGCTTATAAGTTCATTTTTTGAACTATTCAGTGGTAGGGTGTTTTAACCATTGTTTCGATAGTGCTAACCTTTCATGATCTGCTGGAGCTCCACCTGTAGGGTCTGAATGAGACGGACGTGGTCTTCCCCAGCTTTACGCTTAACACGGTGCACAGACAACTTCCCCTCCACCACCATCGCGACGTCATCGTCTTCCAGATAAACCACCTTGTTGGTGTGCTCAATGATGGCACTGACAGAGAAAAATAAAAGAAAACCAACCTTTACTTTACTTTAACTACCAAAATCACATTTGTAATGAGGTTTTTTGGTCAGCAGGGTGCAATGCTGAACTGATGCAACTGGCATGACCCGTTTAACAAAGACGTCTGCAGTCTGTAGGCTTCGTAATGTCAATATTATGTTAAGGCTCTAGATTCAACAGTGTAATATGTGTGTGCATCTTACCTAGCATCAGAGGCAAAGTAAAACTCCACCGCCAATCTGTCATGGACTGAGTGCAAGGCATTGGTGCTGCCCACTTGGTTCAGTAAGTTTTTCTCCTGTTCATCTCTCCTGGAATCACCTTAAGGAAAAAGAAAATAACAAAACACACTTTTTAACATAGGTGAAAAAAATATATATAAACCGAGTGAGGTGATTTAATATATAATTAATTGACCATTTCTGTTAGAATACAGTTCAAATATTAATTTAAAATATCTTAAAAATGAAATATAAAAATAGATGATTTTTTTAATGTTTTAAACCCACTCAAATATTCACTGTACAACAGTTTGTTTTATACTTCCTCTACACAATCAAATCACATGCTCTCATAAAAAGATCATATCGGAAAACAGATGATAACGACTGTCATGATAAAATACCATATTTCGAAACCATGCTTGGGCAGGATGCCACATGCATTTCCAATAACTTGCCTCAAAATGTGCTAGAGGACAAAATGACAGCAATGCTGCCTTTTGTCTTTTTCTAAAGCACGTTTTGTGGCAAAACTTTGTGGCCAAAAGTATGTGAGACCCCCTTCAGTTTAGTTCAGTTAGTCTCCTCAATTTCAGTTCAAACAAATTTACGGATCGTTTATCAGTTCGGACCAGCAACATCTGATTCTGTGCGGCGCGAGCCGATCTCGAACAACGACACTGTTACTACACAGCGCTAAGAGATCCAGTAAAGAAAACATTTGAATTCGCCACTGAGGTAATAACATTGCTGCAAGATCCCTATTAGATTAAACAGTGCTGACGTGAAAACCAAGAGAAACATTGTGCCGCGAATGAACTAATAATACTTTACATCCACAGACCAGCAACATTCACCATGGATTTAATATAGTAACACTAACTGGAACCAGTTTGGCTGGAATAGTGAAATGCTTTCAAGTACTTCACACATCTTTTTCCAGCACTTCAAAACTCAAATAATAAATAAATAAATATAAATTTAAATGTTATTTTTAAAGTAATGACCAAAACATTATTTGTTCATCCTTCAAAGATGACCCCCGTTCAAAAACCTAAAAGTTTCAAGAAATTTCTCTGGCATTTCTTTCTTTTTGCTGTATCGAAAACGTACCGAACCGTTACTTTAAAACCGAGGTACGTACCGAACCGTGATTTTTGTGTACCGTTACACACCCCTATTTGATATACTATTTTGCAACAGTATGAATGTTTTTACTGTCAGTTTTGATTGTTTTTATCCACTTTTGCCGAATGTATTACTTCCTTAAAAAAAAAAAAAAAAAAACGAATATTCCTCAAACATTTGAAGAGTAGTTCACATTCCAACATACAGTACAAAACCGTCTTAGAGGAGTGTGTAGATATTAGGGAGGACCAATTGACTATTGTTGGAATTAGTTTTGGAATGAAATGTTTAACAAGCACATAAAAGAAGTATGGGTGTGGTGTCTTGGTGTTCACAAATGTATTTTTATGAGTAGAACTGGTTTGAGCAGACGAGAACAAAAGGATTATGTGGGCTAGACTTACCAGAGTTGTACTGGACAGGGATCTCCTTGGTAGAAAGCTCATATTGACTGCGCACGCCAATAAGCAGCGGGCTGCCCCTCCTGTTTGAAACAAGATGGGAGAGATCGATGAATTAGCTATCGATTGCTTTTGGAAAGCATACTTTGTGTGTGTAAGAAAAGGCAAAGACATTTAATCTCCTTTTCCCCTCACGTTAAAAAAAGATTCTTGCGTTTCTATGGCACAACAGCACACCTGCAGGACTTTGCCCTAGTTTCAATGTACACTCAATGGACGGTGTTAGTGTAGCCCTGCTGTAAACAAGATCCCTGTGTTCACTCTCTCCCTATTTCATCATATCCTTGTTTAGGGCCACCTCCCTCACCACTGTTTGAGGAAATATTTCAAACCTGTCCTTTACATGCACCACCTATCTCTTATGCTGACGTGCCAAAAGGGTCCACGCTGGAGCAGTTTCTCAGTGCTTGCTTTGTTTGAACTGGTTGGGCAGATGCATTTCAGTGTGTATTGCAAGCCAAATGCTCACTATCCCATGAAGTTTATTTTGGATTCTAACTTCACACCGGATGGAAGTTTCCTGAATGAACCATGAACAACAAAATGCTGAAACTCAGCAGCGGACTTTTGAGATGACTTAGTTTTGGTGACACGTGTAGTCAAATGATAATCAAATGAAGGTGAGACAGGAAGTAGTTATGTGCTAATGCTAATCCGTTGGAATGGATTCTTTGGGACGGACAGAACAATAAACTTGCATTAGAATTTAAGACTCATTACATATTTGTAGTTTTATTATTTGCTCACTATAAAGCATTTATTAAAATTAGCTATTATTTTGAGTATTCATTTAAAAAAATCATTTTGTCAGGTTTTTTTTTACTCTTTCCCTGCCAGCGTTTTTGATCATTTTCACAAATAAGTCATGACCCCCAAAATATTTTGTTGTATGAAGATCTGAACATGCAATATATCAAAAGAAAGAACAGAGCCTCTCATTTAAACTAACAAACAAAAAAAGTTTTAATCTAGCTTAATGCATGCTATTTCATCAACACTTGAATGTCGGTAAGAAAATCACTTTTTTTTTTTTCAAAGACTACATCCAGATCGGATTCAAGCGATGATAAAAACATAGATGGAGTAGATCACGTCCATCAACATCCTCAAAGCTTCACAGTCCTATAGCTCGATGATCGCATTATTTTACGTATGCTTCTGCTTACATATGCTATCGCTTGTTTCTGCTTCATCTTCGCATGTGTTTTGATCACACATCAAAAGCGCACCCAACCATTTAACGATGAAAACACAAAACGATGGAAAATTCCATCAATGGTGGGGAAAGAGTTAATATTTCCATTTAGCTTTAATTGATTTTTCATTTCAGTTTAGTAATTTTAGTACTAACGATTATTTTACTTCAGTTAGTTACCAAAGTAACATTTCTATCATTTTTATTTAAGGTTTCATCTGATATTTATATTTCAGTATTATTTAAATGAATGAAAATTATTATTTTTTGCTACCAATAATACACTGAATGTGAGTGGTGCTTGCGAAATTTACCACTACGAATTAAAATTTGCTGTCAGCCTGCATTATTTCAACTTATTGTTTTTAAATAATCGTGTTTAACAGTATGATAACTGGTGAAAAACTACATTACCCATGATGCTGTACAGAAAGGTGAAGGGGGGATACGCTGGTCTACAGTAATTTGAAAGTAATTGCAGTACCAGTTTTGGCCACAATCTTGCATACGGCTCCTTTAAAACATATTGTTTTTATACATTTCAACATTTGTAAATGAATAACTTTATATTTCACCATCGTTTTTAATTCGATTATGCAGTTCACATTTGCTTCATGGGATTGTGGTTCTTTCCCTTAATATAGACGTATAAAATCCATATATTCAAATCAAAGTTTGTACAGGGTATATACAGTAATCCTTAAGTTAAATTTACTACTTTTTAATACCTTTTTTACTACCTTTAGAATTTTTTTTAAAACCATCACGACACTGAATTGCAAGTGTTAACCAGCGACCTTTCTATTACACAGATTTTGACATTTATAACATACAAAATGAATAGATTTAGAGCACGCATTCCATTTTTATGTTTAGTGGATTGCATTTGCGACCAAAGTGCATAAGCTCCCATCCAGTTGACATTGATGTTTTTTTACACACCAAACAATAGAGGGAATGCATTGACATCACTTTCCCGCCGGTACAACCCCCCTCAACCTGACTGAGGGGCAAAAGATCTGCTGCGTGACTGGATTTAATAGGGGAAACTATGAAACGAAAATGCGACTAAAACTAACAATTTGATCAATTTAAACTAAATGTTGGACTCAATGTAGTTGGACTCCTAACAACTTACTAAAGATCCAGTGATCCATGGATATTGACATGCAGCCAGCAATCGTGTCGCCTGACATTTATGTTTGCCTGATTTCAATAAAAGGGACATAAAAGCAATATATAGATCTACATAGGCTAAAGCAAATTTGCCTGTGAACGCTTTATATAAATACAATATAGGTAGGTCTAAATCCGGGTGATCACTTATATCAGGGTTATATAGCCTATCGTCTAGCCACTGAATATGACGTCAGCATCAAAGATAGACAGAGATGAAAGATCTTTGATTGTGCCCAGATAAGCTAAAGCCCATATTTATACGGACTAACGCAAACACAAAATAGGACACCTGATAGTCTCTTAAAAAATAATACCTCAGACTACATTTAACACTTTTAATGGCCTTAAATTTGACAGTTTTGATTTATCACTTTTTAATACTTTTTAAAACCCTGCGGACACCCTGTTGTAGTGTTGTGATTCACCTTTTAGCTGCTTAACTTGTTGGATGGCTTATAACTCTTTAACAAAGTCTATTTTGAAATACCTATTAGTCAGGGAGCCAATAGTTGATTGCCAATGAAGTAAAGCTGAAAATAGTGGAAAAAAAGTGAAAAAACGCCTGGTTTTTTTGCATTAAATTTATGCAAAATCAAGTAGAAATGTGTTTTAAGAATTATTTTTTCAGTGGATGTTGTCCGCACATGTGTTCTGTGTATCTGGAATGCATTTATTGAGAACCTACCCAACCCACTAAGGATTTGATGAAAAAAATAATTTTTCACATTTTTCTGATAAAAAATAAAGGGTGCGTACACTAAAATGGCCACAAGTTTTTTTCACGATATTTCCGGCAGAGCAGACCCTCCAATTATTTGTTCTTAGGGTCAAAGTTAACAGAAAAAACACAAATAAAAAGTATGGCAGACCATGTCAGGTTCAACCCATTTTATAGAGCTTTTGAGACTTTGGCTCCCTGACCATATGGGAAAAACTAAACAAAAAAAAAATACTTCCAGAACTTTACAATTTTTTTTTAGGACTATCAAAGTTAAAAACATGGGTTTTTGTTTAGTCCACACAATACAAGTCAGTGGGGTCCTTGGCATCAAAGAGTCTGAAGAAACACCACTCACAAATCTTCCAAGCAACATCCCCCCTAAAAAGGTTCCTTGAATAACCTTTCCAAAAAGTCTCTTACTTGTAGATGGTGCAAAAACAACAACATAATTTCAGTGTCTATGCAGAAACCCGCTCTGATGGGTCTTGCAACATGGCCTGTCATAAAATGTTCCTTTCACAGCAGGACAGAATTGACCAAAACCAACAACACATTCGTCACAATCAGCGGTGGGCAGATGGGAATAATTAACTTTGGTCTTAGCCTTAGTCAACTCCCAATTATATATACAGGGTCAGACTACCAAACCAAGCATGGTGAAATAACCCTTAATAAACATCGCTTCTATATCCCTGATTCCTGGACAGGCACAGCTTTTTAAGGACCTTAGTTCCTTGTCTTTAAATGCGCAAGCGAACATCATAAATCTTTTCTGGCGACAGCACATTGTAACCTTCTGGCTCCTGTTCACTGGCACGAAGGAAAATAATGGGAAGGAGTTCATCTCAGAAGATGGAAAGAGCAAGAAAGGAATGAGGAAACCTGAGTGTGTTACAGTTCAGAGAAACCATAGCTCTTGCTGACCTGGTGGCAACAGCCTCTCCTGGGAAATGAATGCTTTTGAAAACCAGAGCAAATGCCCCTTCCTGAGGGAAGATAGAGAAAAAAAACAGTGAATGAGACATGTTCATTGGCGAGGCAGATGAATAGCTATGATACAGATCTAAATAGAAACATCGTCATTCTGTTGAACAGGCAAATGTAGGGTCTCGCGTTTCTTCGCCAGCCCACCTCTGTAGCCCAGCTGAGGATCAAGCCTGAAGCGGAGGCCCGGTGAGGTGGAGCTGGGAGGAACAGAGCCCCTCAGTGAGGGTTGAACTAAGGGGAATAGGGGCCCTCTCTGTGTGCTGAGGGAGCTTATTTTTGCCCCTGCTTCCTCAATGAGCCCCTCCTGACTCAAGGGAAAGCACACGCACTCCAGTACACACACATAACACACAGGTACACAACTCACTTTGTAGACATTTTACAACTACGTGCTTCAACACATACAGCCTATCTATCTATCTATCTATCTATCTATCTATCTATCTATCTATCTATCTATCTATCTATCTATCTATCTATCTATCTATCTATCTATCTATCTATCTATCTATCTATCTATCTATCTATCTATCTATCTATCTATCTACCTACCTACCTACCTACCTACTTACTTACCTAGCTACACACACACAGAGAATATCTATACAACCATTCAACAGTTTGAAGTCAGTATAATTTTTTTAAAGGGATAGTTCACCCAAAAATGAAAATTCTGTCAGTATTTACTCACCCTCATGTTGTTCCAACCTTCGTTCATCTTCGGAACACGAATTAAGTTATTTTTGATGAAATCTGAGAGCTGGGTCACTCCTGCATTGAGGGATTGAAACTTGCTGGCCTCAAAAAGTTATTAAAGACACCGTTAAAACAGTCCAAGTGTCTACAGTGGCTCAATTTTAAGTTTATCAAGCGACGAGAATACTTTTTGTGTGCAAAAACAAACATAAATAACGACTTTATTTCATCTATTCATTTCAGCAAGTTTCAATCCCTCAAGAAGCCTATGGACTAGTATAGAGGAGTGATCCAGCTCTCAGATTTCATCAAAAATAATATCTTAATTTGTGTTCCGAAGATGAACGAAGGTTGGAACAACATGAGGGTGAGTAAATACTGACAGAATTTTCATTTTTGGGTGAACTAACCCTTTAATGTTTGAATGTAATAACAAAAAATGCTCACTAAATTTATTTTTTAAATTTAAAATCAGAATAACGGCAGTAAAAATATACAGTAGGCAGTGTATATATATTAAGCAATCATTTAAATCTTATATAATTATTTTGAATTACAATAATGATAATTATATTTATACTACGTGGCAGTTCAATGCTTGAATCTGATTGGTTGATGAACGTTTTAAGGTGGGCATTTTTTTGTTCAGGGAAACTCACTGCTAAAGTAGATACAGACGCATTACAGTGCCATATCAACTCGCCAGATTATTTCAGTTATATTTTTTGCACCAGACTCACTCAGGTAAGTGCATACATTTTCTAATAATTCAACCGCCTGTTGTAAATTATTCCTTATTTAAACACCTCAATGCTATCATTATTTTATCTCTCAGCCTTCCATCGCTAAAATGGCTGCCAAAGCTGTTTAGACAGAGAGTAATCAAAATTTAGTGTAAGTAATTTACAGAAGATGCCATAAAACAGGCAGGGTACAATAGAGATGGTAAAAGCGGGGAATGTCATACTGATAGGAAGAGTGGGTTGTTTTATAAACCAATGATAAAGACTAGATTCCTTTCGAAAATATCTCAAAGGGCACCTCCCTCGCTCATACGACGTGTTTGGATAGAGCTGAACTTCCCAGCAGAGAATATTACGGTTATGAGAGTCGTCCAAAGGTACTGACAATGACTCATAAAACAAGGTCCAGGTGTCCACATTTGAAAATCGAGGTAATATCATCAGTCACGTAGAAACGAGGAAGAGTTGTTTGATTATGTGCTGATAAATATTACCATTGGTTATATAACTGACAGTGAAGAAGACCAAACTTTGACTGCGTGATCAATTTGTTGAAGATAAAGATGGCTACAAAAAAAACCCACACAAATTAAAATACAGTTATCCAGTTCTTATTCATGCCTTACTTGATTTATCAGTGCGAATTTAACTACAAATAATATGGTGGTTAAAAATCATGTAACTACCCCTCAAACAGAGCAGAACTTCTGAACTTCTTTTCCTTGCTTTTAAGAGAGCTGAAAATGAGCAAGAACTGGCTTTTCACTTTCACAATCTGAGCAAGGGGTTCCCAGAGGCATGAGTAAGACCACCCCCTCACCCCTAACACACACACACACACACACACACGTAACACATGTACAAACTCATGATGCTTACCAGCTGTTGAATGACGCGCTCCACAAGGGTGGAGAAGGACACATAATCGTTCTCGCGGTTGTCATAGAGATACTTGATCAACTTAGGGATGACCTCTGTGTCTGTGTCCGACTCAAACTCATAGCCTTTGGAAACCTATCAATGGGTTGGGATGGAAAAGCCATGGTTACAGACACAAGCAGCGGCAAAACAAAACATGTTTTTCTTTTGTGGAAAAGGGGCGGATAGAAGGAATCATGGATAAATGAAAGTGAGAAAGAGAGAGAGAGTGAAATACTAAACTTGTAATGGTTTTGAACGCTTCCTCGCTGCTTTTGAATGTTGTTTTGTGGGAAACCGTGCAACTAACTACTAGACAATGAATGACGTGATCTGATGTGTACCACTAAAATGATAAAGACACTATTTGTGATATGTCATGAGCAATTCCATGGTACACACCTAAAAATGATTATTAGTTAATAAGAAGACCAGCCCTGCCACATTTTCTCTTTATCAACATTTTATCACAGTTATGCACATTTTTTTTTTTCGTTTGCGAAATCCAGCCACTCCGATTTCGCTTGAGATCGAATAATTTTCCCACGCATATTTTGCAACACACGGATTCACTGCGTTGACCAAAGGAAAGCTGCTTGGTTTGAGAGTGACTTCTGTGTGAGCGGAACAATATTGACAATTAAAATCTTTATGAAATCAAAACATTTTTCTGGTCCTAATTTGAACGTTTCTTCTGTGCATGTTATTTCAACAGGAAAAAGAATGGTTCAGAAATATTCATTAAAATGTATTAGCTTCCTTTTTCTCTGAAACGACTGATTTCAAGTAGGCTGTGTGGGTTACTATTTTTTGGCATTGTTTCGGCAAACTGGTTCTATTGTGGATCTCGTCTGGTATGTAGAGCCTCCTTTTTACATTCAAAATGATCCCCCTCCTGCTTTTTTTTATTAAATGGATGGTACAGCACTGGCTCCAGTAAAGACTAAAGAGGTATTTAAAAATGCTGCTCACCAGGTACTTTTTCAGCTCCTTGTAATTTGTGATGATGCCGTTGTGGATGACAACAAACTCTGGAGAGACACGTAAAGAAAAGGATGAATAAATACACTGCAAAATCATTTTAATTACTTTTGTTAAAATCCATGAGGACACAAATAATACAGGGGTGTCCAATCCTGTTCCTTGAGTGCAACCTTCCAACATGATAGTCCTGAAAAGCTTGATTAGCTGGTTCATGTGTGTTTAATTGTACTATAATGTAATTTGAGCAAAACTCTTGCTGGAAGGCCCTCCAATTAAATTGACATAAATGGCAAAATTAGAAAGGCATCTGAGATAAAGCAAGTTATGTATTTTTGTAAATGTACTAATGTCACAGCAGCATTTTGCTTAATGACATCCTCACCTACAAAACATGCCTTCAGTCAGACCCAACATAGCTGATACAATGTCATTTATCAAGTCAAGTCAGTCAAGAATGTAAGCATGCAAGCCTTTCATTTCAATGTGATATATACTTGAAGAATGGCTGTTTGACAAACTGTTGATGTGTGTGGTGTAGTATTTTTATATACTGTGGGTAGGTATTATTGTTCATTACAATTTGTCCTTGTTGAAGACACAATACTACTCAAAAGTTCAGATACGCCCTCATATTTCTCATGATCTTAAAGACCTACAGGTGTATACTTTAATGCTACACAACAGTGTAATCGTTTACCAGTTTATAGTTTACTTTTTTTGAATTGATGAATTAAAAATAGTAATTGATTTACTTTTTTTTCTTTACTTAAGAGTTGGATGTGCTTAGCGTTGTGAACTCATTTAATAATATTGGAAAAGTATCCCAGAACGCACCTAATGAAGTTGGTTTAGTTGGTATAAAATAAAATAGTTTTGATCTGAGAGAGAGAGAGAGAGAGAGAGAGAGAGAGAGAGAGAGATTTGACGACTTTCTTTGACACATATTAATAAATGTGCCGGATTCATGAAAATATTCTTAAGAAAGAAGTTAAGAAGATAAACTCTAAGAATGTTATTACTAAGTGCAATTCTTGAACAGTTCTCAAATACTTCAATTTCTTAAGAACATTTTTTTTCTTGTTAGGTTTCCTTGTTACTTGATTGAAAGGCAGATATTGAATGAAAAACACCCCAAACAAAGCCAGTCTTTTTCCACTGTCTGTAGTGTAGATTATATGCAGACTATTTATGTTGCGACCGGCAGTTAATCACTCAGCATTGTGTTTTTAATGCGCCAAGATAAAAAAGTTTTTTTTAAAGATTACGATGAATTAAGATGATTAAGATGAATGCTTCCTTTATCTGTGTGGGCTGCCTCGATCTGCGTCACTTCAGAGTACCTGTCCACATTCCTGGTAGTAATTTGTATTATATGTAACTAGTGTTATTTCAGTAGCGCTCAATATTGAAATTCAATAAATTAATTGAACATCTTACCTTTGGGGATTCAAGATAAGTTAAAGGTTATCCTACATTTTTATTTTTTGGGGTGAACTAATCCTCTACATTCTTAATAAAAGTTTTTGGGAACTCAAAACATTCTTAACTTTATTCTTAAGTAAGACAATAAGAAGAAATTGGCAGTTTTTTTATTCTTAGGAATAATTAGTGAATCTGGCTCCAGGTGTCCAAAATTTTGACTAGTACTTTAAATCTTGAAGAATAATTTTAAAGAATTTAATACGTTTAGAAAATATATAAAAATAAATAAAAGTTAGAACATAAAAATATTTTGGAATACACCACTTCTATGTTACAAATTGAATGTAAGCAACTTTCTGACAATGATCATCTGCATTGCTTTGTGCCTATCGCACCTAACATGCCCATTGGATCATTCTCAAATCAAATTGAATAAAATGCTCATCAGGTAAAATATTTTTAAAAAAAAGAAAACTTTTGAACATCCCTAAACATGTCTGTATGAATTACAGGAGAAAGCAGATCCAGAATCAGTAGCAAAGCAAACTGTGTGGCGAGAGAGGACCTTCCGGCTGTCTGTTACTAACCCCTTATTAGGTGAACTTTCACATCTGAATCATTATTGACCGTATTACAGCTTTCACTAACCTTTCATTAATGGCTTTAAAGCCTGTTTCGGCTGCCAAGTCCTGCCTTTTCTGGATAAAGAGCACATAAACTGACACAGCTGGTTTACTAATGACCGGTTATAAACCAGATGACCATCACTAGGTCAGTTAATTTGCGTCGTCTCTTATCTCGCTCGACGTCTCACCGTTGTTTTTGTCGGATCGTTGAGGGTGGCTGTTCAGCGAACTTGGCTCCCCATGCGTGGCCCAGCGAGTGTGTGCAATGCCAAAGTGTGTGTCCAGTTCTGCCTCAAGATCGATGGAGTTGTTCTCTGATGATACAAAAGAGAAGTTTATATTGAAAATTAATCATTATGGAAGCACTTTAAAGATAAAAGATAAGATTGACAAGTTAACATACTGTAGATTTCTTCATCAAGAGCTTTCACTTTCCCTGTCTTCTTATAGAGGCTGATATTAGCTGTGTGATCTTTTCCTGGGCCGTCTACTGCAACACCTGACCAGAAAAATATATACAAGAAATCAGATAAATGATACACAACATAATTTATGGTCACAATCTCTCTTTGTCTCTATTTTAAAGTTTGATAAAAACAAAATGAGCGCAGAAGATGAGAAAGAAGAGCCTGAGAATGCTAAAAAAACAAAACAAACTGTGCAATAATCCCCTTCACACAAATATCAACTGACTGCTTTAGGTGAAAGAACTGACACTCCAGGCCCTCTGCGCTGCCAATATAGAAGAAACAAGGCTACTGTTCAGTTCTTGTGCCGTATCTGTTACCTGCGTAACACACACACACACACACACACTGACATTGCCTTCACAGAGGTGGGAGTGGCAGTCTTACCTGCAGAGTCATAACCCCTGTACTCCAGCCTTAAAAGTCCCTTTATGAGGGTCTGAATGATATCCCCCCTCGTCCGTGGCACTCTGTAATTCAGGTAGGCGAAGATTCCTGCCAGATACAAGATAGCAAGGATTAGAGAGGGAGCAAAAAACTAATGGCGATGAAAAAAGTTCATATAAATTCACATTAAGATGATAAATATGACATTAACAGAGTGAAGGATTCAGATATGACGTCAACACACCAAAATAACTGTACAGCACAGCAACAAAATTATTAAAACAGGCGAATGAATCAAAATGTACTTTAGTAAAGTAAACTTAATTTTACATTGTTACAAAGTGCCTCAGTGTACTTTAAGAAACAGTCATGAAAAAGGAACGTGTATCCTACTCTCTTTAATTGCCTAACTTGCATATATATATATATATATATATATATATATATATAACTTACTTGTTATTTTTAACAATAGTAGACAAAGTGATAAAGTTCATTCAACACATCTCAGACATCTGGGAGATCAGCCACGTCGAGTTTATGTCTTAAAACGCAGTTTGAGCTGCTATACCACGTTGACAGGATTCTTCTGCGTCATATGAATGTCATTCACAAACCGAAATACCAGGTAACCACATATTTAGCTATAGTGGGTGCGTTTGATGTCTAAAAATGCAACCTAGGTAGGTCGTTCACAAGGTTTTAAGTCACGACCGCTGTCGCACTGCAAACCGGATCTGTCACTTCAACTGTCACAACTCCAGTGAATGATGACCAGCCAACTATTTACATTCATATGATGACGCTGGCATTTGACTCGTCACGTTCACACACTGGGACTAGTTAAAAGTTAATAGTTTAATAGAGATAATAGCAACCTGAAAACTAGCAACAGTATAAGAAGATATTTGATTCATACGCATCATTCCATTTCCTGTACAGTACGTTAACAAGTTGAACTTACCGCACATCGTTCAAGTGTATTCTTTGAAGCTGAAGGTAAATTGGAGGGTCTGGTGGTGAAGCAAAGCAGAGCAAGTCGCAATATGATCCAAAGACTTCGAGAAGAAATTACGAACACGGCCGCCTGGACTTACAACTTATAACCTGCTCCACCTCTCTGGTTCCCAAGGCAACGTCAGCCCCGCCCACCACTGACTGACTGACTGAAAGGACTGTGTGCTTGATACTAAGGATTCCTGTTTTTGATCATGTTTTTGTTTGTAACGCTAGTTTTCCTTACATTTATTTCAGACTAGACCGTGAATAAGCTCAACACAGTGAGCCATGAGTTTTGCGCCACGTATAAATTTGCTTATTCAAATTATGACTTTAAAATGGAGGAACGAAGCAAAGATTTAAAGGGGTCATGAAATACATTTTTTTATAATGTTCTCTGAGGTCCACTTATAACGCCACCAAGATTTGTACATCCTAGTTTAGAAGAAATAAGCTGCGTTTTAATGGGCGTGTCGCATTCAAGACGTGGAATTACGCCAAATATGATTGGGTAAAAGATTTTGCTTATTAAAATAATTTTCAATATCCCCTCCGCCATTACACTTCTGATGTTTCCAAATATCTGGTTACATAGTTGAAACATTTGCCAACAATGTGAAACATTTATGCATGCTTGCTTTATAAGTCTTTGTTGTGGCAAATAACGTTTTTGGAGTTACCACAAGTATTAACTGACAATTAACTGCCAAAGATGACTTGCGCCTTGCGGTGTTTTGTAAAAGGAATTATAAATTAATTTACTATTTGTCACTGGCTATTCATAGTTCATCCATTTCAATTAAGTCATTTGTAGAGCCCTGTTTTAAAATAAAACCTGTTGTAATGTATTTTTACTGATGACAACACAGAAGATGTCACTCACTGAAGCTTTTATTTAGGATTATAGCGACCAGGCTAGATGCTAAATACAAAGAAGAAGCAGCTTTTCCTTTCGAGATGGTCTCTCAACGCTGCGACACAGAAACACCTTTCTCCTAGAAATATTGAAGTCTCATTGCCGCGCAAGCATCAGTATTTCTATCCCAGGGTTCATTATTGCTAAAAGAAAGGCGTTATCGCATCAGCTAGCTGTACGCAAAGTCAGTAAACGGAGACGTTCTCCACATGTTCTCTTTCCATATCTGATGATCCAACGCATTAAATATAAATGTCAAAGCAAAGGAAATAATGGTAAATCACAACTATTTAGTTTGACTACGGTGCTACAGTATAAATAGTCATATAGTGATCCGTAGCAGACAAAGCAATAGTGACACATGGTAAAAACACTGTTACTCAGACACAATCTGACTGGAACTTCATTCAAAATAAAGTTAATCCAAGGATCACATTGATGGCCCACAACTTGTATTCCTTAGAGGCAACTATCGTTTTATTGCTGGAGAAATTTAGCCAATGTATTTACTATTACATGGCATACTTGAATCGGGGGGCGGGGCTAAAGAAAGAGGCCGTTGCACTATGATGTAATAACACGACAAAATCTGAAACGAGTCGTTTTCTGAGCTAGGTTTTAGCTGTTTTTGGGCTAACAAGATAGTTTTGAGTTCTGAGACTTACAGGATATTTTTATATGACCCCTTCTTTGTCAAAACATCAAGGAAAATTTGATTTCTCACTTCATGACGCCTTAAAAAAATGGTATAGAATGGTAATTCTGTATAACAACATTAAGTAACTTAATATAATAAATTAATGAAAACTAGATTAGCCTGAGCATATTTACATACTCCTGTGTAAATGATGACTACATGCTTCTAGTGTTTTTGAGTGTAGCAAACAAACTTCCCACAACCCTAAGAAACATCTAAACGTGACAACCTCAGTCGCCTGACTCCCCCCATATGTATGCTGTAAAGCCAAAAGTTTGTGGACACCACACCCATGTGTTAGCTTGTTAAGCACATGGTGAGTTGGTTCTGTGAACACTAACATGGAACACGGATACAGGGATTTGATCCCATTTAAACACAAAAGCGTCATTGAGTTCCTTGTCCCTTGTGAAAAAAGTGCGCTTAATTATTGATTGTGAACTTGTGTACTTAAAAGTATATTTTACAAAACTGTACAGATCATAAAATACTGATGAAATTAAAGGCCAACTCAGAGTAACTTATAAGAGAGTACACTTTCATGACTATTAAAGTCCCCGTGAAATCAAAATTGAACCTATTTACTTTGTTAGCGCATATTACTACTAGTCTTGTGGTGAACAATTAATCCGTGCAAGTGAATATATATTAAAAAAATGTTTTACCTTAGTAATCTTTAATCAAAATCTGAAAAGTTACTTCCGGTCTGGAACGGTTTCTTTTTCTGATGACGTAGGTTTCACAGTTTGGCTTAACCACTCCCCTCAAACCGTTAGTTTGCTATGAGCGAGAGATGGAGAGGAGGAGCGCTAGAGTAAAACCCTGCCCTCTGTTCAATATTCCGTTTCACTTGGAAATACGTCACAGCACTGGAGAAAAATCGTTTGCAACTTCCGGTTCACGGGGACTTTAACTTGTACACTTATTTTGATGTGTTGCCAAACATTTTAAAGCACATGTAAAGTACTTGATTCTAACATAGTGTGTTTAGAATTTTTTTTTACCTTTACAGGGACTGTTTTTTAAAAGTCAAAAGTCAATATAATTTGAATGTACTACATTTAAAGTTCATCAAAACAATTGTAAAATTACAAATATATTTCAACGAAATTGTTTCAATAGAAGGGACATTTTTAGTTTACCATAAATTATCAATAAATTCAGTAGTACATTTTCATATTCCAAATCAAATCAAGTCACCTTAATTTATATATGCTTTATACAACACTGATTTTTTCAAAGCAGCTTTACAATGATAACAGGAAAATGATGCATTTCGGCTATTGTTCAGAAAATAATAGAGGTAATTATGAAATTACAAATAAAGATGCCTACTTAAGTTCTACTAATTGCATTTACCGTACTATAAACTATAATACATTTTCAGTATAATACATTACTCACCCTCATGTCATTCCAAACCCGTATGACTTTCTTCCTTCAGTGATTGTCCCGCTGCAATAGAAAACAAGCCTCGCCAAACTTTTGTTACGAAATTGGAAGCACATAATTCTAAATGCCTTTGTTAGAATAGAATTAAGGCTTCACTGGAAGTGAGCATTAATTAGGAACTGAATTGTGTTTATTAGAAATGGTTGTAATTGCCATGATTTTACAACAACAATAAAAAAAACTCTTGAAAAGGACTTTTTTTAACCTGCAGTGTTTAAACTTTTTTTTTTTGAGCATGTTAAGTTTATTTCAGGACATTAGGAACCTATTATAGAGAACTAAAATATCAGTGTGAATGTTTTCACTTTTGAACAATTGGTCCTCCTGCAGCTGTAACACTGTAAAGTCTCTCTTGTCTAGGCATCTGTGTCATGTTAAGCTGAATAAGACACGGGCCCTGTGTGGTCACCATGCAGGGGGCCTATTGTAAAGATTTTTGGATCATTCAGTCCCCAAACGGACCATAAGAATTTACTCAACTCAAGCCGTACAAGGTGAGCAAAACCGAGGTGAGATGATCTACAGACAGAAGCGGAAAGATTTATAGATTTTAATCTTTTGGTTTGAGTCCAAATATGACTCAGGGATTTCGAATTAAGCAATTTCAGGTAAAAAGATACTTGCTGGAAAACGTTTTTGGTCACCCCTTCTAAATAATGGGTTTGAACTGTTCACTTAATTCCAGTGAAAACAATCTGCTATGTCATACAGTGGCGTTCAAGGGAATCATACTTCCGACTTTGTTTTAAAAGTTTTCTGTTCCAGCACAACTGTCCCATACAGAATCCCACTGTTTACGGGGGAATTGAAACCAGACCTCCTTGAATCTCAGATCCATTATTTAACATTTAGAGGAAGAATGGAAGCTGTAGAGGAGGAACAAATTGCCATTTGTGCTTTTTGATACCCACTTATATGCTGTATCATCCAAGATGATGTAAAGTGATTCATACACTGAACCAGCTTGCTAAGTTGTAAATAACAAACAGATCTATTTACTATAGTAACAATAAATATTTCTCTCTCACGTAAAACAAATGAGTTCGTAGTTGTTGTTTTAAGCTACGTCAGAATTCTATAATTTATCAAATCAAAACTTGAAAAAAGATGTTAAATATTTGAATATGTGGTGTGAATTACAGTAAATGCTTTAATTGTGTACATGATGTCAGATACGCAGTGTCATGAGTGGACAGTCAGTGACCACTAAAAGGGTGGTATAGGCGGCAAACATTTACACCCTCAAATATCTCTCTAACTGAGACAAATGTTGCAAGTGGTATTCCTTTTAGCACCCAACTCATTGTTATCAGTTTATTCTTATCTCACAATTTTCTTTTACTTTTTGTTATCTTGTACTGCATATCAAGCTGGCATCACTTCAGAAGCTACAGTATCATATATTAAATGGGAAATAGGTTATGAAAACTCTTTATATAATGTTTAACAGTTCATGGACATTCATATGTGAAATGAATAAAAGTGAACTGTTAAGATTTCTACACTTTTTAATTACTTAATAAAGAACATTATGAATGTTATTAAGCAGCACTACCATCAAATACACAAAAATTCTTAAAAATCCAAAGGAAGTTTTGAAAATATGGTCGTTAATGGTCATGGTACACTGAAATCCTGTGGGTGAGATAGATTTTTCCATCCCTTCAAACCTTTGAGGTAAATGATGTCATGCAAAGCAGCACAACAGTTGAGATCATTTAGACTTTCTAGTCCAGTCAAATAAACTTTGACTTCACTAATCATCACTAATGCTAATGTTCAGAAATATTGGCAGATTTATTTTTCTACTTTTCATGGTATAATATAATATAATATAATATAATATAATATAATATAATATAATATAATATAATATAATATAATAATTTCCTGACAGCAACATTGTGTCGGCCCAGATCTGGCCCATATCTGGTACACGGATTCCACTATGTCGCTCTCTGGGAATTTTTGACGGTTATTTTCGTCAGTTACAGCTCGTTAGATCTAGCATTCTGCCTGCCTTGAATCAGACGATGAATTTGAA